AATTTGTATTTATTTTCTACGTGATTGTATAGACAAAGTGTGAGGAAATTTGTCCAGGAGTTACAGGCTAAAACAGGACTTTGAATGCATTTGTTATTTAACAGAAACTGCAGTATTTAAAATGGATAAAGATGCACTGAAATGTAGCAAGGACATTTAGTTCAAATGATTAAGATAATACTTAAGATCAGAATGCTAGCTTTAAATTTGATATGCAAAAATAACATGTGTGGAAACCAAACACCTTCTACTGTCTTTGTGAACAGAAAAAAGCCAGCAGGCTACGGGACAGTTGAGATGTTTAACAACAGTGTTCATCTGAGACCTGTTGGATCCCAGATGGTGCAGTGACAGCCAAGCTACACCTTGCTGCTTATATTATGCAATGTGAGCAAGCTTATACTTAACCAACTAATTACACGGCCAATTAAACGGACATTTGAATGAATACATTTCCTTTAGTTAAAAACGAGACCGACAGGCTAAATTGCAGAGGACATTGTCAGAGGATTTAGGGTCTAGTTGTTAAATTATGCTGCCATTAGGTGCTACTTCTTATTACTGGGATGTGCGAGATGTGCTCAAGAGTTCTTAGCCAAGGAAAAAGTGAAATGGACACTAACCAAATCCTGCTGCAGAAAACAAAGTTATGATTCAGCGACAGAGAGCAAAAACTGACTATTTTCAAAGTAATTTATGAACCCTGATATTGATATTGATACTGTGTTGTATTGCCTGGCTGACTATCTAGCTTTTTGTGTGTGCATATGCAAGTCTTTATGTCTCTGTGTGTGAAGATGACAACAGAAAATTGCCACTCAGCTGTTCCGACTTACTGACTTGTAATTGCTACTGTTTGATCACGAGCCCTCAGCTGATAATTACGATGTTTCAGACAGCACTTGAACGCACCATGAGCACGACTCTTTACCTGAGTCCTCCACTCAACACCCCCGCAACCACACCCTTCCATGCCTGACACATCTAAGGTGTCATGTTGAACTGCCTGCGTAAGAGAGGCGGTAAGAAGAACAACAATCCTTTAAATCCTTTTTAGCCAATAAAACATCACAAATTAGGTACGTTAAAGATTGAAAAGGACTATTGCTAACAAGACAACATGCATTTAAATGTAATCAAATTTTAATAACAGATAAAACCCAGCTGTAGGTACTTCAGATTTAATGCAGTGACAGCACCAGCATGCTGATGTTCAGTGTCCTTCTGTAGCCTGCAAGCATTAAGTATTAAAATCACACTGAACCCCTGAAGCCCAAGGCTGCTGTTTGACATTTCCACCTCAACAAACTCCACAAATATTGTCACCAACAGCTGCAAAACTGTTACAGCAAAATTGCAACATTTGAGCTCAATGATAAGAGACACGTGGAACAATTTTAAAATATTCTACTTGTCACAAGTCCAAAGGCCATCTTGGACAGGTCACCTGTCTATCACAGGGGTAACATAGAGAGACAAACTCTCTATGGCAAATTTTAACCTAATGTGCCAGAGCACCCAGAGAAAACCCACACAGAAACAAAACCCACATACAAAGGCCCCAATCAGCTTGCAGCTTTAAAGCCAGGACCTTCTTGCTGTGAGGCCACAGTGATAATCACTGAGGCACCTTGGCAGACAACCGCCCAATTAGCCAAATTAAAACTAGAGTTATTAACACCAATGTGATTGGACCTGTTCTAAAAGTATGATGCAACAAAAATGATTCGTAACAAAACAAATGTAACATCTCTAGCAAAGATGTCATACTTTGACACCACTACAGATCTCATAGGTGAGCAGGCGATCTGACCCTTTGGTGTATGTCATTCCCTGCTTTCCTGTCTACTTTCTACTGATGTATAATACATTTAAGTTTTCACAGCACTCCTTTAAATCTATATCAAGACTGCTCCCTCACCATTTATGTTATAGAAGGTGTGTCTGTGAGAGGTAATGTGGTTCTTGTGATACCAGGTTTAAATGTATGCAGGAGTAACACCTTACTGCATCTTGGTCCCATCAGAGCAAAAATGAACAGACCTATAAGCCAGAGAGATTTTGAAATACATCATTCAAGAGAGTTTCTATGCTTCCTTCTGCGTTTACTCTTTGGTCCAAATAAGAGTCAAATGATTAAAAAAAACAAGAAAAAAAAATGCTGTTTGGTCTTATGGCCCCTATAGATACAAGACTGATGAAGAGTGAGCAGAGATGTTACGTCATCGTGTCCCAAAAAGGCTCCACTGAGCATGACATTTCAGACCTTACTTGATGAAAAAATCCATAACAAAGGGGAACATGAACATCTCCAGAAAAATTTCATCACAATCCATCCATTGCCGTTTTTTGTATCTGGATCAAAACCAGCAGAAATACTGCCGTAATAAACTTCTGGACACTTTGGGGCATCAGGAATTCTTATTGTCCAATAAAAAATTATCACTGAACACTAGTCAGTTCGTGGATAAGTGGAGATGTGGTCTCTCAAAACTCAACGCAAGCTAATAAAGAAGTGTGCGCAAGTTTCACAAAGTCTGCACCATGACGGAGGAGCTGCCACAACTTGTCATCCTCCCATTGTGAGTACAGTGCCATTTACAATGAAAGCAATTTCTTCCTCTTTCCTAGACGGATAATAGCAGCCATTCATCAGAACCTCGCAAATGACGTGTTTCATCGATTTCCATCAGTCTGGGAGAACAGAGCCACAGAGATGGAGGCTCAGAGACATAAGAGCTGTCAGATCAGAGCAGAGTTGGGCAGTGAAAGCCCCACAGAGGGGAAAACAAAGTTTTAAAAAAAAAAAAAATCAGAATAGAAGGAAACAGATTATCAACTCCCATCTATGAACAATGCACTTAACGCTCCATGTTTGGGCTGCTAATGACATGCACAGACTGGGAGGGGGTGGGGAGGTGTTCCTCCAACACAACCTGCCACATCTCACAGCCACTGCATAACAGAGATTTACTCTTCTAATGAAATCCTTTGCTTGCCAGTTGCTTAGCAACAAAAGTACTGATTCATATGGCACATACGATATGCGCCTGACACTGCATTTCTGACACTTTGGAGGAAGGTTGCTTCTTGGATGAGGAAGAGAGGGTGAGAAGAAAACAGGGCAGGAGTTATGAAATGAATGCCAGGAGAGCAAAAGGCAGAGAGGGAGAGATTGGAAGTGAAAGGATGACCCGTCTCTGGCTGACTCCCACAGAGTAGCACAACAGGTTGGTGGAGCTCGGCAGCTCCACAAAAACACACAAAAAGACCTGACTGCTCTCTTATATGCGCACATAAACAGTGTTCAGCTGTGGACCCTGAAACGAAAAACCTCAGCATGATCCGTTTTCAGGAAAGCATTTCTGTTCCAATTTTCTACATCTATAAATAAATCTTGGCCAAAAACCAAACAAACGGATCCTCTTAAATATTAGTCGGAAAAATGTGTCGGTCTTTCAGGTTTATTCATTTATGAAGCAAAAACCTGAAATATTTGTAAGTTGTCCCTTTGTATCATGACAACTAATACAGCTGAATTCTTGGTAGTTAATATTTGGGTGCTGGGAAGATGTATTTTCTGTATTTTAAAGAAAGAAGATACATCGACATATTAAATAACCCATGACTCTAATTGTTATGTGCAGCCTTAATTGTAAGCAGCTTCAACCCAACCATGGAAATGATACAGACGTCTCCCTTCAAAAGGTCAGCACCACCCTGCATGCAGCCTTTAGCGATTCTCTTCCACCCTGACTGCCTGTCTGAGAAATGAATGCACATGCATTAAGACAAACTGCTCCATCTCTTGCACTTTTATCAGCTAGTCCATCTTTGTCCTTAAGCATATGCGTAATGGCGGAAACTCTAAAATGAGACTTTATGGAAAAACACAACAGAAAGATTTTTTATTTTTCTAACACACAACTGCAGACGGCCTGGCGCAGATGATGTCATTACTGTGAGGCCGAAAATGTAGTAGCAGTTGAATTAAATACTACTGCTGCTGCTGTCTCTGGAGATTACACAAAGACACGCATGAACATATCTGACCCATGTAGCAGCCCCTGATAGCTCCACGTGTCCTCAACAGGTTAGAGTATTCCAGACTTTATGAAATACACTTGACAAACTGGGCGGCATGTTCAGCTGGACAGTTGAAAGAAAATGATGCCGACTTCAGATTATGTTGACAAGAACTCAAAAGGGGGGAACCTAAGCTAAGTTGCTGTTTACAGAAGATTAAAAATCCCTTGTCCTCAATAAAATGCAGCTGGATGGATTTTTGTTTGTAAAAATAAGATTCAGCAGCACATTTTGCCTCTGCTACTCTGTTCTGTAAATTATCCAGTGAGAAATTCTTCAACAGAATGTAGCTCCAATCCAAAATGTCCTGCGCTTGAGGCCGGTGGATTATCCACATTAAGCGGGACATGATATCTGGAAACACCAGGTTTTAGTTTTGCCCCCCCTATTTTTAGCAGCACAATTTAACTTCCACTAACCTTCAATGTATGACCACAAGCATTGGTTGTACATTGTACAAATGTCAAACTATCTTCATAATATTCCCACAAATTGTTTTCTAATTGTGTGGGAATTAAGCTCCTCAACATGTTAAATTCATATGATAGTTAAGCTTTTTACAATACTTGTAGGTTACTTGTGCGCTGGATCACCTTCAAATCAACTAAGAACAAACTGAATGCGGTGCACCAACAAGTGTCAGCTGTAGCTCCAACTGCAAACCTGCTGTTAACGAGGACCAACTTTCCTCGTTAACAGCCTACAGTCCAAGATCACAGAGGTTTTATTATAACAGGCTCGCATTGTATGTGACATTAAGCCAAGAATAGCAGAGTTCATTATTCAGAGTCATGCACTTTGATTGGACCTACTACAGATTTAATTACAAGCCCAAATCAAACTGGCTGCTACACAAAAACCCCTCTATGATGATTTCATGGAGGAGTGCTGCGTTATGAAATGAGCTGGCGTACCTTCTTTTTGGCGTTACAGTGGCAGCATACGGTCCACAGGTATTTCAGAGTTCTCCACAGCAGGATTATGAAGAGACCCCCAAAGAAAGTGACCATGGAAGAGGCGAGGAAAGCCCACCACATCCGCTGGCCGTTGTTATCACAGGGCACATCTGGTGAGAACGGGATGATCACATTCATCTTGGATATGTGGATGGATGGGTCCGGGTTGAATCTCTCCCTGTTTTTCGGCATTACCGACTTCTGGTCACCTGCCAGCCCCTAAAAACAAACAAACTCAACTGGGATTCAGGGCCTTTGGGGAGCTCCAGCCAGCGCCCCCTGATGCCACAACGGCTCAGGCATGTTCAGCCAACCACCTTCCGCTCCTCTTCCATCTCATCTGGCTTCACTCTAAGCAAAGATGTAAAAGTTAAAGTCCACAAGAGCCACACTCGCAATTTAAAAAAACAAAAAAAAACCCCAAACTTCTTTTGAAATTAAGATCTCAGTCGTGCGCCTCACGATGCGCGTTCGTGGCCGGGATTGCGCGTCATCCGTTAGACGTGTGCGTAAAAATCAAATTTCTTGTTCAAACTCCTCAAAACTCACGGTTTTCTCACAGATCCGATGGATGAAACTGCAGCGGCGTTATGATAACACTGAAGAGGCGTGCTGTCGTCGCCAGTCGATTCACTCACTCCCCCACCTTGTTTTTTGTTTTTTTACAGCGTAGCCTTCAGCAGGTCCGCTACTTGAGCTCAGCACCGCGCACTGTTGAATGTCGTCCTCGCGTCAAAGGCCTCAGTTTGTCGTTTCCTTTACGGATATATCGTTTGGGTTGGAAAAAAAAATGACCGTTTTATTCTTGTACGCAATTCTCGTTCTCCGACTCCCTCTGTCACATCCATTTGTTGGAAGATGGCATCGCAGATTTACAGGTAGCGGGGGAGGAGCCATCAATAGCAGACGTCGATGCTTATCTTGATGTCTGGTTATTTATAGTGACCGCTTCATCAATTTTTGATGGTTGTAACTTTATGGTTAGAGCCACCGTGCTTTTAAACCCTTAATTTTGTACGGACGTTTTAGTTTTGTACATTAGATCTATGTTCCTAAACTATAATCAAATTTCAAACTGTATTTCCATAATAAGGTGGGGCAAACTGACGAAAATGAAATTCTCTTATTGGTGTCCTGTATCTTTATATGGAGCTTTAACATCAATCTAAGGCTGTCTGGAGCCTTTAAACGAGAAAACGTTTTCTCCAGCACTGATGGAAATAAGAGTTAAAAAAAAACAAAAACACATTGCAGCAGAGAATACACCATACATTTTCATTTTTTCCACGCCATCACGCATTAAAGGCTTAGAAAACCCAAAATGTAAAAAGTTTCCAAATATTGGAATAAGAGTATTTATATAGGCAGTTATAAAACATGGTAAGGAAAAGTACTAAACAGGACATCTTGTTTTCTCTCGTCTAGTGGTAAATTACTCCCCCTCGAGGACAAACTGTGCACTGATTGAGGTCCAACTTGAGTCCAGTTTTTCTTGACAAATAACCAGCCCGCTATTTGTGAGCTGATGTTAGCATTCAGATGTGCAAAGAAAACACAGACAACTTGCACTCCATTAATTGAATGTTTAATATTTTATAGAAACAATAACCTTCATTTGGAGAAAGCCTGACGTAAAGTGTTTTATCTGACATCCAGATGAAATGCTCTCAACGTGATTGACGTGAAAATTCAAGGAGGAACACGTACATGTGTTTAGCCAACAGATGGAAAAAAAAAAAAATCCCTTCTTACCGGTAAATTTAAAAACAAAAAAAATAAAAATCCACCTGACAAAGAATATTGGCAGAAACTAGCAAACCTGCTGCGTGATTTACAAGGAAAACTGCAGTGTTAATAAGTGTGATGTATTAAATATATTTAGCTTGGCACAATATTATATGAGAGGAGTGAAATGATCCAAATAAAGACTGACATAATGTGAAGGAAGCAATTTCTCCTCTATAAATAAGAACATTATTCACTAGAGAGCTACAGTTGTATAACAAAGGATCATAACCAACATCTTTGACTTGATTAGATAAATTAAATGGCAAGAGAAGACATAAATATCAAGGAGGGAACACAGTGGTCCATCTTCAGTTTGGAGTTGATGCAGAGTCCCTGTGGTCTGACAATTCAAGGGATTAAAGGAGTGCTACTGAATATGAGGGAATACACAATTCAAGTATTGAAGACTAGTGTAAACAAGTCTCTGTACTACATAATTACTGTAGTAGGAATATTGCAAATCATGTGTGCTGATATTGCTGTAAGTGAGAAGTATTGGATGTTAACCATCGAGTCTGCTGTGAACTGCTGGATTTGAACATCTTCGCTACATCCTGGAATGTTTCTGGGTGACATGAACAAGGGGAGATACTTTTACGGGGCTCCATCTGGAATCCACAGTACTTTACTCTGTTCCTGCTCCACGATGGTCATGATCTGAGTGCAAATGTAGGAGACGCTGCCTCCCTGGACAATACCTGCAATAGAGTTGGGAGGAGGGTGGTATTTTTGTGGTTAACACATCCCATTGAAAGTTCTTTCATTTTTTCCCCATTCAGTCACTCAGCTCCCGGACCAATGTGATTTTTTCTTATTTTTGCATAATCCAAGCACTACTCATTTTCAATTATATCAAGCATGTAATGAGACTAATGTTGACACCAACCAACAGGACTGTGGAAATAGAAGACTTACAGTTGTAAACTGTGAAGACAAACTGGTATAAGCTGTCTATCAACAGATACTTTTAATGAAAGTGCTGATAAATATAATCACAATCGTGGCATGTGTGCAGAAGTTGGCCGGCCAACTCTCCCTAATAGATGGGATCAGTTGTGGTATGTGTTCATTGCAAAAGCCCTTGTGTACAAGTCGCCTCCTTTTCTAGTCATTAATCAGGCAGACAGTTGGGTGTCAGACTGTCTGCTGCTCCAGATACCAGAACTTTAACTCTTCTTAAAGAACACACATACAGTGCTCCCAATACTTCCTCTTTAAGACTAAACTCTAAATAACATGAAATAAATACAGTTAAAAACAAATCTCAGAGACTATCACCAAAAATTTTGGACATACAGCGATAAATGCCATTAAACAGTTTGTGTCTGATTATTGATGAACTGACTTTTAAGCCCGAGGTGAAAAAATGGTTACAAAAATACACCTTTCTTTGTAAACTGGGATTCAGTTTGCAGTTACACATTTCTGTGTACTGTAGGTGTGGTTAAGGTTACAATAATTAGAATTATAATGCCTGTATACAAATTAACATCGAGTGAACATAAGCCTATCCCACCAACCTGTGAAGAAGCGGCTGTAGTCCTGCTCTATTTTCTGCGCTGCCTCAAACTGCTCCCTGGAATGTTTCTGAGACAGTTTATCCCGCAGGTACAAAGGGTCCTTCTGCTCCCTGAGGAAACATCAGCCCTGTCAGCCTGCTACGAAACCTCATTTCAAACACTCAAAGTGTCAGATTCTTGATGTCAACAAAACAGTCACAATTTCCATATTTTGTATTACTAAAAATCTGCAGACATGTTTATAACAGTAATAATAGTGTGTGGATATTTTAATACATCTTGAACATTGCTAAATACAAATTTAGAGTGAATTTCTTTTATACAAAAATGTGAATACATTTATCCCAATTCAACTGCATATAAATTATTCATGTTTCTGGGCTGCTACTGCCAACATTAACTTAAATGAAAACCATTTTCCTGGAAATTCTACTGGCAGTAATAGACAAGAAAGTCTTTTTGGATAAATCAGCAAAGTTAACAAGGATCAACTACCCTTATTAGCATTTTATCGAAATAAAATTTAAAAAAAATACTCAGATGTTGACTAAAGTAACTATAGATGCAATTTAAAGGAGATTTCTACTAGTTTTTACAGCAAAACTTCTCATTTCTGCCAAGAAATCTAACAGCTTAGCTTCAGTGAAATCTCCCTACTTTAAACCCATCCATCCCACTCAGTACCCATGACCGCACAAAGCCTTGAGAATTCATGTGTTTACCAGTCTTCATCTTTTACCTCTGACTTAACCTAGAATGCCACTGTCTCTCTCCTTTCACTCATTATGCAGTCAACATTTTGGTCTGCTGATGCTTCTCAGAGGATAGAAACCCATGAAAAACCTTGGGCTCCTGTCAGTTGCTGCAGCAGGCAGTGGGAGGTGTGTTTTTGTGTACATGGAAGCTGAGGCCGGCAGGGCATCGTGTGTTTTTAGCCACCCACACCACGAAGCGGAGCCACAGGCCTCGTGAGCCCCTCCCAGGACAGCTGGCACTCAGCTGATGACAGCGAAGGCTTAGCAGGAATCAATCTGAACCATGTTTGCCTGCTGCACCGTTTCATAGATTTATGGACGCGTGTGTGTACGTGCGTGGTGGAAAAAGCCTGTTCCTGCCCGACCCGAGTTTGCCCTGATTTGCATGCGTTTGTGTGCGCATGTGCATGAAGCACCATGCCGAAGGTTCAGCAGATTTAATCTTCCCACGGATTACAAATGAAAAAGCAGAGGATCTGTGAGCCATCACCATCAGTCGATGAAAACAGGTGGTGGAAGAGAGCACGTCGTGTCTTCGCAACTAATGATGCTGATCAAATTTTGGTTGATCAATTCGTTTTGTTATGGATGGAGGGCAAATGTGATTATAAAACCAGCAAGACTTCTGCGGATGCCAATTTCCCAAGCAACTGTCTCAAGCCAGATAAAATTAAGCATAATCAGGAATAATCAGTCCTTCAAGCGAGAATGGCTTTAAAATGGGGGAACTTTAAGTAATCTTTAAATAATTCTTTATGACCTGACATTTTTAGATTACATATTGATTTAATGCCCAAGTAGTTATTTGCAAAATAGAAACAGATTATTCGTTTAGTTCAGAATATACGGATGAGTTTTGTTCATGAATGTGGCTTTATTTGAAAATGCTATGGCCCACATTTTCCCCTTTCTTCTCAGAAACAGCCTCCAGAGGCAAAAGCTTTGGATGAGTTCTCTCTGTATGTTGTTCAAGGTTTGGAGCTTGACAAATAACTGGGTAAACAAAACTGGTACCACAACACAAAGCATGCTCAACATGTCTGACAGGTAGAAATAAAAAAAAAATATTTTAAAAGTCAAAGCAGGCATGAAATTACTCACTTTATCTGCTTGGCATTTTTGTAGCGGATGAATATGATGATTGGGTAGATGTGAACCATGTGAAGACGTTCAATGGCGTGAGGGGCAATGTCAAGTAAGCAGTGACAGTCCTATGAGAGAAGACAACATGAGAAATGGGAGATGTTTCAAAAAAAGTACACTGCAGAAAAGATCAAGTACTTATTTTCACGCTCTGTGTGTTTAAAGACTTCTAGCAGTTTATGGGATATCAACAACAACATAAATGTCAACATAAAAAAAAAAATAAAGGTTCTTTGAAAATATGTAGCCAATCAAGTTATTTTAATCAGTTTGGAAGTTTGGCTGTATTGCATTATTTGGAATGCAGTTGAAAGTCCTCTGAAGATTGTAAGAAAAGTTGGAAAGACAGCAGTGCATAAACTTCAAGATACAACTGCTATTGGTGCAGGGTCATAAATGTGTCATTTCTGGACAAGCAAATCAATAAATAGTGCAGATTAAGGTTATTTTAAATTTACCTTTTCTGTGATTTCTTTTATTGAGGCGACTGTTGTCACGTCAAAATGCCCACTCCTCCGTTTGTAATCAATGAACACACAATCCTTTACTCCACGCTCTATTGCCTGCTGAGATGCCTTCATAATTTCTAAAAGTAAAAAAAAAAAAAAAAGCAACATTTTTTATTTTAATATACACGTCAAGTTCTCTGATCTTTGAGTTTCATGTTAGGTAGCTCTCAGTGAAATCTCCCTGGCGCAATAACACAAGTCTGATGGACACACACATCCTTCATGTATAAATTCACACAAATCAGAAGCTCACCAGGCAAACAGCGACAGAACTTGGTAGGAGCCTCCTTCTCCAACATGTCCTTACAGGCCTCCACTAATGGACCCAAGATCAGCACTGGACGAGGCGAAGAGCACTCCACCTTCTGAACCCGCTGGTACATGAGGCTCACGCCGTCTGTGCAGGGAATAAACCAAAGCAATTTATTCCAAAGGCATAACAGGAGAGAGACACTGCCGCTCATTTTAACCATGGTTTCTGTGTCATGTGAAAGCTTCAGCTATATAAACACATCTTCATGCCTGAGATCTGCCTCACAAATCTGGCAACAAATTATCATGTAAGGTTAATAGGGACATTCATAGTAGCAGTTTCTATCTAGTATCAAGCCTAAAGAATAAAATTTGAACTTTTCAAACTTGAGTATTATTAAGTCTTAGAGATTAGGCTTAATTGGGAGACGGCTTTTAAATAAATAAATAAATAAATAAATAAATAAATAAATAAATAAATGTATGTATGAACTTTTCTTTAAACACTTAAAGGGAACTGATTTTAAACACCAAAGACTAAAATTTATTTGGTAAAACTGTGGTGTCTGTGATGAAATGTAATTATGTTTGTTGCACCTCCAGATGCAGCTGTGTGAAGTCTGATAAATTGACTGAAGTCAAGACTATATCCAGTAAATTAAATCTTGGATGCTTAGAAAGTGAGCAAGCCTCTGCAGCGTGCTCCACATTCAAACCTCTGACAAATCTGCCTGTGGTTGAACAGATTTGTGGGTAATTTTAGGTCCAACTCTTGTGAAGGAATGTGTGAAATACAATAATCAGATTCTGCTGTATTCACCGTGAACTTTTTGATTTCAAACAGTCCTTTGTAAGTTTAACAATGTGACGACAGTATAATGCAATGCTGGTGAAGTAAGCGCTCAAGAAAATCCAAATATGTGCTTATTCCACAATCAACCTTTCTTATACAATTATGTCTTTTTTTGTGCATTTTTAAATGAAGTTGTGTTTAGAAGAGGGTTTCTCACCCTCTGTGATGGGTAAAGAATCTGTGCTAATGGCGTCCAAAGCCGTCATGTCTTTTCCATCCTTGGATCCACTCCGTTTGTGCTTTAGCCTCCGGCGAAAGAATGACCTCCGAGCAGCAGCAGACAGCGTCCTGCTAGTGCCGTTTTCATCCTTCATATCAGCCATGCTGTGTCTTCTGTAGAATTCCTGGTCCATCCTTATGGAGATAATATTTCAATCCATATCAACATGCTATCAAACTAATGTTCTTTAACATTAAAGTTTGATGAATGTAGAATTTCTCAACAGATTTTCTAAATCAGAAAACCACAAATTCTTACACTGTACTTACATGTATTTACTTGGAATCTGTCCTCTCTCTAGTTTCTGTGCACTCTCATCAAGCTGCCAGGCCATCCAGAAGCCAAAATTACCATTTGGTAGTGTGTCTTCAACATAAAGGATGTCATCTTTCTTAAAGCTTAGCTCCTGCTCCATTTCTGCCACTCTCTCATAAAGTGCTCTGCCAAATATGAATAAAGTAGTTGGGGAAGATGTCAATGGCATGATAAACAAAACTTTGCAGACTATAATGGAAAAACAAGTCTTACAAGCTATACTCTACAAGCTTCAACGAGTTATTGACCTGACACACAAATCACCAAAACATGTCTGTTCTGTTAGCTCAATGTTCCCAAACTTTACTGCCCATTTCCCGGTGGTTAGGTTCCATTTTGGATTTTGTTTAACATAAAATTAAAAGGCACAATATTCATGTCATCTCAGCAGTTTAATTTCAGTGGCCTGATAAATATTCAGGGTACCTTATGAAAAATCCATCTCCGGGACTCTCTCTTACTGCATCAAGGTTGTCTGCATAGTTCTGGACCTTGAAGGTGATCGTTTCAGCTGGTTTCAACAATTCCAGGTAAGCATCTTCTTTAGTTTTGTTCTTCATGCTGACACCATTGTACTGTTTAAAAAATAAATAAATAAATTAAAACTATAAAGACAATCATCTATAAGACAGAAAGCAGTCAGATTCTATGTCTAAACCTGCTTTAATGTGCTTTTCTTCTAGCCTCAGAGCATTATAATACAGGTACACAAATCACACAATTATGTCCAGTATTGTTTTCACTACAGCTACTGCAACTTACTTTTTATTGAACACATGACAACTTTGGTGCATCACAGTTATTGACAAATATGAGAGATACCTCCAGCATCAAATCTCCAGGCAGTAAACCATCAGGACCCCTAGCAGGGCTGTCATCATCTAAACTCTCCACAAAGATGCCATAAAGGTTCCCTCCACAGATCTGAACTCCCAGCTCCATGTGGATCCTCTTCAGCCTCACCAACCGATACTCTGGAACCCTGCGTGGATTTGAACCAGGAAGCCTGAAAGAAAAATACATTTTAAGAAGTTCGACCAGTAGATTCAAAGTCTATTTTAAAGGGCTGTATTAAAACACCATATCAACCCAGCGAACATAAAAGCAGATATAAAGCTACTACCTGGAGGAGATGTGTGGACTAGTGGCAGGAGTCGTTTGTTTGGATGCAGGAGTAATCGTGCCTTCATCCTGCTCACTCAGTAAATCTACAGTGGAGTGATTGTCCGGTGTGGTGGCTCCACTGTCATGGGGTGACGGCTGGTTGCTGATGGATTCCATCCGAGAACTAAAAAGATGAGAAACAAAGTCAGAATCTTTTCTAATCATTTAATATTTTACCCTAAAGTCCAAATAACTGTTTTTTAGAGAATACACTTTAGGGTTTGTTTACTGTTATAGCACATTCGTGCCATCTCCTTTTTAGTGTTAATATTTGTTAATCATAATTACATAACCCATTTCTTATTCCTGTGCTACAGTATGAAGTCTTTACGATTGTGTACTCATGCGTTTGCTTTGCACATACTGTGCTTTATACAGAAAAGGGCACTGCTAAGCTCTCGTCTCCCTCTTACCCTGAACGAGAGTGATTCCCCAGCTGAAACATGTGTGGATTATACTGAGCCAAAATGGTGACCGTGTCACATTGCTGCCCGATCACCAGCCGTGCCTGCTGCTCATTGGCATTGCGAAGGTTGATTCCATTAAACTGGAAACAGAAGGGATTCATTAGAGGCAGAAAAAAAATAAAATAAAAAAAATAATAAATCATGGATATGCAGTAAAGTAGCTAATGTACCTCAAGAAGTTGATCTCCGTACTCTAATCGAGCTTGATGAGCAATGCTACCTGCTGTCACTTTGGACACAAACACTCCGCCATTCTCTCCACTCACAATGGAGATACCAAGCGGTTCTGCTCCCTTCTGTACCGTCACATTTCGTGGCTCCCCCAGGTATGGCCTTCAGGGGGAAAAAAGAACATTTATGTGTTTTGACATCTTATAGAAAAGTTGCAAGCATGCAACTTTGGGGAAGAAAAAAAAAAAAAAAAAAAATTAGAATAAGACAACCAAACTCCTGGAGTTGGAGACAAATGAACAAGCTGAGGATAATACATCTGTGCCGGCTGCTGAGGTAACGGCTCCCTAATTCCAGTGTTAAATAACATGAATTCAACAATGAAAAAAAAAAAAAAAAAAAAAAAAAATTTGAATAAGCTCTTCCCTTCAATCTAATGTTTTCCTACACAATATGAGTCTGCATGCTACCATGCATGTCATGTATGCAAATAATCACAGAATCATGTGACATTTTTCACACAAATGTGTATTGTTCAAACAATAATATGCACGTACCAGCCACAACATTAAAAACCCCTTGCAGGTAAAGTAAATAACAGTAATCACGATCCTGGTATGTGGCTGATACCACCCACAAAAACAGCAGCACCATATGAAGGCAACGACAGTCCCCAACTGGACAATGTCAGGGCCTCCAACCTCTCAAAATCCCAATCTGATCAAGCATCTGATGCTTGAGCCTGTAGCCTCATGTCTGACAATACCAGACACGCTCAAAGGTCAAAGCTGTTTTTGTAGCACACTGTACCAAGAACAAGGTTTTAATGTTGTGGCTGATGTGCCAAGCGTGCATTTTCAAATCCCACTTCATGTCATGCAATCATACAACATTTAACAGCATTCTGAATAAATAATGAGCAGAGAAGATGACGACCTAAGGATACACATCCATTTCATTACTGCCATTATTAAACATTCAAAAGAATCTAGCACCGCTGCTGCAAAGTGAGTCTAGACTGTAACATTTATATATGCAGAGTGTAGGCAGAATGATAAGATCTGTGCTCCAACAGTCCTGCAGACAGTGCTTATACTGTATGTGCTACCAGCACAAGACAAACCTCAAGCTTCTTAAAGAGAAGAACTTGGGCTTAATTCCAAGTGGAGGTCTAACAGAGGAAGTGCAGTAAGAGACAAATCTGAGAAGCAGAATGACAGGGAAAAAATAAAAACAGACAAAGACAGAAAGATTTCAAGTTACAAGGCTCAGCAGCAGAGAAGAAAGTGAAGATAATCAAATGATAGATTGTGGTGACAGTGTTGGATGGAGGCTTGAGGCTTTGTTTACTGCTTTGCAAGCATTTAATCACAATGAACCAGACAAAAAGTACAGACAAATGGTGGAAAACATGTCTTGTGGTGCTGAATCATGGTGGGATAAAGATTCGGACAATGACGAGGATTCGGTTGGCCTACCCATCCTTTCGCCTGTCACCAATTGAAGCAGGGCTGACTGATATCCTAGGTTGGGTGGAAATGGAGCTCTGCGATTGGCTGCTAGTGAAAGACGACGTGTCCAGGTTGACAGGGGACATTGGAGGTGTTGGGCTGCTACCCTCCGAATGTGTAAGTGAGCCTGGAGTGACAGAGGATATAAAAAAATTGAAGTAACATTTGGTACCAGTAGATGTTGCTCCCAGACTGAACAGTACCTTTGTCAGATCCAGTGGCGCGAGGATAACGAATTGGAGGGATCTTAATCCGTTCTGCTCTAAATTGAGTACCAGAGGTGCCTAAGAAAAAACAGGAAATTTATTAAAAGGGTCAGTTGACCCATAATGGAAAAAAAAAAAGAAAAGAAACATTTTCCTCACACAACTGAGGGTATCCAACCATGTTGATATGGGAATTCCCCAGGAAATATATGAACAACTGTGATAAGCCCCTTTCCCCGACACTGCTAATCTAAATATTTACCACAGAGCGAATGTTTGATGTAGCCAGTTAATCACCATCGTCTCCTGAGCCAATTAAACTGCTACAAGACTTCCTAACTCATTACAGGAGAGTTGCATTTAAAACTGACATTTCATAAATATAATGAGTTTAAGAGTAAAATTAAAGTTAAATAATTTTGTGTCACAGAAGTCCGTGTTTGCTAACAATGCAACGACGCCAGTTAGGTGTTTTGCTAGCAGTGATAAATAGTGGGCTAAATAAGTGCGGACTGAATTAAAAAATTTTAAACAACATTATTCACATTTTAAACATGTAGTGATTACCATAAAACTAGGGCACCATACATACTCATTCTGTTGCTGCAGGGCAAGGAGTTAGTACTGTGTGGTGGTTGGCTGCAGCTCCGCTCAGTCGGGTTTCCAGTGCGCTTGTGGCTGAGGTCCAGACTGAGGCGACCTTGATGCTGGGGGCTAGAGTAGAGGAGGGGGGGAGGAAAAAGAAAAGGCCTGCGTAAGTCCCCCGGCAGTCAATTATTCAACCCAGGGCAAGATATAATTTGCTACATGCCATCTGTCCATGAGATCTGGGGCAGGATACACAGTTGTTTCGCTGCTATAAATACACCATTCAGGATTTAGCAAATCTGTGGTTAAAATGAAAAACGGTACTACTAGAACTAATGTCTACTTTGCAGTAAGCATCAAAATAAACTGTTAAATCTATATATATATAATAAAAAAATAAAAATAAAGAAAAAACCCATCTGAAATGGTCTTTTATTTCTAACTAATGCACCAAAAACCAGAAGTATGCAGAATACAATCACAGCAAAAAAAAAAAAAAAAAAAAAGAATACAGAATAATTATTTATTAATCTCTCTCTCTGCTTCAAAAGAGACAACAGTCTAATAGTCGAGATAAAATATCAGTTTTCTAACAGATATAGATATTTCAAGATGTCGTAACAAGGAAAAAAGTAAACTTAAAAAGCATTTGGAGAACACATTTCTCCAACGAGGCCGATGACCTAGCTCAGAATTTCTTAACGACGTGACCTGGTTCTGTCCCAAAATCTGGTGGCTTTCTTTGTCCCTGCTCCACATTTCCACCAAGTTGTATTTGACTAGCTGCTGCATTATCTGTCTAACAGACAAAAACAGCACTGAAGATACTCTACCTGTCGAATAATTCAATTAATCATGGGTGAACTCTATTAAGTCAATTCAAAGACCTGGAATTGAGAGTTCTGTTTCACCGACAAATTGTAGTGGTTTAGTCGACTCAGCTACCTTCTTCCTATTAAATGTCTGCAGTGAATGAGGTGTGATTGAAACAGAAAATTTTACTTGACACTATATGCAAAATAAGTATACTCATTAATTCATATATTCACATGGCAAAATGACAAGATTTATTTTTAGGATTCACAACAGTAAAAAGGCTCGTGAAGAAGAGTTGGACTCGTGCATGTTGAAAAGACTGACAGAACACCTTGTGTGTGTATGAGGATGACTGCTCGAGCTGGGAGCTGGAGGAGGGTTGTTGGCCTGGACCTCATGGCTCCAGGCTGTGTAGACAGGGTTCCTCATGACAGCCGTCACAGCAGGGCAAGGGGCAAAACTTCGTTGTGCAGGGTCTGGAGGACAAATAGTGGGATTAGACATCAACAAGTAGTAGTTATGTGACACTTCCATCCTATAAATATCAAGCCTTTATTAGTTCAATAGAAAAAACCCCAACAAATCGAAATCAACTTTCTATTTTTATTATTAGTGATCCATGCAGTGTTTGGAAATGTGAAAAAAAATGGAAAAAAGTGAACACATTAAGCTGTTCCCATAACTTACGTGATGCAATGCTACTGTAGCTTTTGGGTGCATATTGTACGCTGTACCGATTGGTTCGTATAGGAGAGAAACGTAACAAGTCCACTGGCTCTGGGGAGTGTTCATCGTTAGAGAAACTCTGTACCTGCAAGGAGCAAACGTACAGCTTGTAAGCCTTTTAATTTTTGAGGAAATAAGGGACACAAAATAATACAAACCATAGCATCTATAAAAATGTCAAATAGTAAATTCCTCAACATGTTCTTTAAATACTCAGTTACCTGAATGGGAACAGGAATGTGCAATGGAGTCACATTTCGACGTAGTGCTGGTGCTGATTTTGGCCGGTATCTCTTTTTTCCTTGCACTTCTGTCCTGTACCGGTTCTCCTCCTCTTCTTCCTCCTCAGCAGGTTTCTTGGAGCTGCCCTTGGCCTCTCCTGGAGGGCCATCATTGAAATAGCATTGGTTTCCCACCTCTCCCTTGTCCTTAGGATTCGTAGCTTGGGCAGGGGATGCCGGTGGTGTGCCGGTGGTAATGGTGGAGTCCGACGCGGAGCTGTTCTGCTGCCGATGCTTGAACCTAAACGAGTCGCTCCTTGCTGGTGGGGTGGGGGGTGTCTGAGCAGATTCAGACACTGAGCTCTGCGGTGAGTGAGACAGGGACATGTAGTCCAGTTTTTGGGCTGCATCAGGTCTCCTGAAAGCATTCATGTCAAAAATAGACTTCCTCTGTTTGGGCTTCTTATAGATGGACAGTTGGGTGTACTCTGAAACAGTTCCCACTATGACTTTAGGCCATGTGCCTCCACTGGGCTTGACTGGCGAGCTCTGCACTCGGTCCACAGCAGCCTGTGGTGAGCTGCAGTCGGACAGAAGAGGGGTGAAGGTAAAAGGCCGATGCTGGAGGTCCTGCCTCCGGTAGCAGAACTCTGGGTGGGGTTCCGAAGGACTATGTGAGGCAGAAAAGGAACGGGAATGCGGGGAACCATTGGAAAAGGGTTTGTGGTGGGAGTGAGTGCTGCCACTGCTGCTATTCAGGGAGTCACCGGTATCCTTGCAGGCTTCCTCCCCTCTGCTGCCAAAGTCACAGCTACAAATGTCAGTTTGTGTGGAACAATTGTGCTTAGAGTTTCTGCAGTTTCTCGTGTGGCCCTCACAGGACTGGAGTCGCGGGTTCTTTTCAGAGTCTCTCAAAGTTTCATATAAACTCTGGCCAGAACAGCTTTGGGGAAAGAACTGTGCAGGAAGAAATGTTGATAAATATACATTAAAATAGTTTAAATGCAATAAATAGCTTCCGATGAAATGGACGATCGCTGACATTTTTAACCAAGAACTTGAGATAGCATTTAAAAATTAAAGATACTGGTAGCAATTAAGGTTTAAGAAGACTTTGCATTGTCTATTAACCCAATGAGCATTTGCACGAAGTAAGCATTGTACAACTAGCACAAAGCCTGACTATTGGGAGTCTATTAGAAGAAACAGCAGTATGTGATGTTACAGTTGTGAGAAGTAAAACAGAGGAATCTGTATGTGTTTGGGCTACGGAGTTTTTACCTTCATGAGGGAGAGGCTGAGAGAATTTCGGCAGTTTCTCAGCAGAGACTCACATTCAGAGAGCGACTTGTTATCGAGCGCAATTCCATTGATCTGAGAAAAAAGAGAAAAAAAAAAAAAAAAGTCCCATAAATAAGAGCCTACTTACCTAGACATCATCATCATCATCGTACTCCATCTTGAAATGGCGTCTGCAAATGTGCTAGTTATGGTTAGAATTTAGATTACCAGTATCTGAGGTGCGCACATCCTCATTACACAACATTAACCATTAAAATGATGGCTGATGTGTACTTGGGTACAAAAATAGTGGCCACCTGCCCTTAAAAGAAATTAAGTCCCAAAAAATTCCTCGATTAGGATTATGGAGGTACTTTATTTTTTTAAAATATCAGATTCCTGTAAATAATGCAAGCCTTTTTTAATAATAAAGTGAGATCATCATACTGAATTCCCTGTCTCAAACATGTAGGTATGACATCAAGACAATTCAGGACTTAAGTAGGATTGTGAGACCTCCCAAAAACGAAGCTTAGACACATATTCAGTACAGTTACTGATACTGATATCAAAGCAGCCAGCTATGATAGAGTGCATGATGTAAGACTATAAGCAAATGATGGTCTATTAATGAATTTTGGGTCCTGGGCAGTGTTAAAGCTGCCAGGGATAAAATTATAGCATAAGGACAAATTACAATATAAAAGACAGATTCAGATCATAATGGAAGCCGTTTGGAATAACCGGCATATTCCAGACCAATAAAGTGTAACATATATGGTGGTCTAAAACTTAAATATAGTCAAGCCAAAAAATGATTCCCAGTCATGACTTTTTTTTTTTTTTTAATCCAACATAAAAGTGCTGAAATCAAAAGATAAGTAGACTACATAATTGTGTTATGGCCTGTATGTATGGTTTGTGTGACAAGGCCAAGTTTGGGAATGTGCTAGCTTACTTTCACTAACCTTTAATCCTAGTTTAACTGACAGATTTTATATTATCTGACATATGAAAATTACAAAACTATGTTAATAGTGTGCAGCAGTGTACTGTGAGCATCTTTGTATTGTAGCTGATATTTTGGTACCTCCAGTGAATTTTTAGTAATGTCAGATTTTACTTCATCTCAGAGGTCAGCCTCACTGGAAGCCCACAGTCTCCATTATATCCTCTCTATGTAACAGTGAAACTGGCTGCATTACCTCATGTTCATTGAAGTTATGAAATGTATACATATACACAACAAATTTCCTCTGTTTCAACACTGTACTTTGAAGGCAAGTAGTTGGAACATGCTGCAGTTGTGCTTGTCTTAAAACAACTTGAATGTGGTCAGTAGAGGGCACTAGAGACCACAGCCATCTCTTGATAACAAACAGGCTTTTATCAAACAAATGATAAACTTTTCAGTGATCATACTTACAGCTAACAGTCTGTCACCAATAGTGAGATTGCAGTCTTTAGCAGCTGGGCTGCCAGCAGCCAAAGTGGCAACAAACACTCCACTTTCCAAACCTAGTCCACTGTCTATGAGGAAAAACAATTAGAAAAAAAAAAAAAAACACACCCCAATTACCATCACATATACAGATAATTAAACGCAAATACTTTGCACTTTAATGTCATTACTAGCTTGTCAAGGCAGACATTATAACGGTGAAGTTTATTACTTATTTGGAAATTGAAGCTGACCTTTGTGTCCAGCTAAGTTTATCTGGATTGGAGTGATGATCCGTCCTCCTAGTGACTTTCTTCTACGAACCACCATATTAATCATGCCCTCACCACTCAACACAGCTTTGATCACCTGCTTCCTGTCTTTATTGGTCAGGTCCACGTCATTTATTTTAAGCAACCAGTCATTTACCCTGAACAGAAATAAGAGAGAATATAATAATAATGAAAAAGAAGCCAACTATGATGTGTTGTGTAAATTGACATGTATCAAAAATCTGATTTTCTGAGTGCTGCATACTAAATTTTACAAGTGAAAATATGAAAATGTGTTTCTATTCTCCAAATAAAGCTTATTATTAGAACCAAAACTCAGGTGTCAAATGACAAAGGGAAATCAAAACATTTATATACACTGAGGAGGAAAGTGACAGTTACCTTAATCTTCCCTCAGCAATACTTCCTTTATCCACCTTAGTTACAAATACACCACAGTCCCCTGGTAAATAGGGATCATTTACCCCTTCAGCAATATCAAATCCAAGTGCTTTCAAATCCATGTCCTGCAAAAATGAAAAATCACGAGGAATATTATGACTTTTTGATTCTGAATTAGTTCATTCATTAAGTGCAATTCTCTAAAGGCAAATCACATTTCTTAAAAAACAAAAAAGAAAACTAAATGATCCTTACTCTGTGCTTCTCAAATTCTACAACTTCTGTCTCCCACTCCATTGAGTCAGTGTCTATGGCTGAATCATGTGAACTGTGGGCCATCAGCTGACGATATCTTGCTTCCTTTTCCAGCTCATCTTCCAACTTTTCTCTGCAGGAAACATGAAATATGTAGCTCTTCAGTAAGTATTTCAAAGTAATTTGAACTGTCCTGTGTAAATAAAATTCATCCACTGGGTGGCACAAAAGATCATTAAGGAAGAGAAGCACTTTTAACACAAATATAAATCAATGAATAATATTCAAGTTTACCTAAAATAGAACACAAGACATTTATCTGTCTCAAAAACAACTTTTGGGAGAAATAACGCACTTTAGTTCTTTGAGTTCCCGCGTCGCATCGTTCTTCTGCTTTCTCATGTCATCCAGATTCCTCAGAGCGTCTGCCAGATCACTCACAGCTCTATCCCTTTCTCGTCTCAGGTTGTCACACAGTGTACTGAGTGATGCACATATTGTCATCAGGTGTCACAATAAAAAACACACAAGCTATTTTTGCCCAAGTCTCCTCGCAATGACATGCATCTACATCTATATTTTTAAAAAACAAATTCTTACCGAATGCTCTCTCTTTCTGCTACAATCTTGTCCCTCTCCTGGAAGGCCCAGTCCCGCCGACACTTGGCGACCTCAGCCTCCTGCAAGGCCTCCTTCAGCTCCTGCGAGATGGCCTCATACTGCTTCCTCAGAATCTCGATCTCCTTGGTGGCTCGTTCCATGTTCATGGTGGCAGAGTCCTGTTCCTGCAGGAGTAGATCAAATTGATGGGTGATAAATGTCACCGGAGAAGTGAAGGTGCTTTTAGTCCAATATGGTATTTGATAACATGTGGCAAATTCTTCTAAATTTGTGTCATAAGAAAGTATTTTCATCTTTCACCCACTCTGTACACTAACTTTGCAGTAATATTATACTCAACACATGTTTTTAATTATCAGCTTTACATCATTTTGGTGCGAGTTAAGCCTTGAAAGCTCATTGATGTAAATACCCGTTTGACAGCAGTCATCTTGACTTGACATGGCACAAACACAGATGTTACAAATTAGAATAATGAATCTTGTCCTCTATTGAGGTGAAGCTTTAATGTGATTAGTATCACCTGTGTTTACCTCTAGCAGCAGCCAGAATGGCTGCTGTGAGAAAGGTTTGTTTGAATAATAGATCATTTATTTTTTCTGCTTGTACACTAATCAATAGACTAAATAAAGTGCTTTGTTTTGGTTTTTTGGGTTTTTTTGGGGTTTTTTTTTTTTTAAATACAAGGTATTAATTACAAGCTATGAAGACATTTTGTTGCTTTTTTTAAGAAACAAAACTTTCAACTTAGCTGACTCCATCCATCCAAAAACAAATTTCTGTAAACTAAGATGTAGTTTCCATCTATGATGTATAAAACAGCCATAGACTGGATTAGGTATATAAACCAGATATAATAAAACAAATGTAAAACTCAGTCTGATGGTGTATCTAGAGCGCTTGCACTAGATACACTGTTGCATTAATTCCATTTCAGTCTACAGTTTTGCTTAACAATCCATTTCTGACGCAGTGCAGATTTCTGGTGTACTTGGAAGTGAGGGTGAGGCCTGTCACTACAATTATTGGTAATTTCCTAATGTAGGCATCCCTGACTTTTATAATTAATCTGACAATCACTGTAAACAGAATGATGGGTGAGTACACATTTCTCAACAGAAATCAATATGTAGAAACCAGCCAGCCGATTGAAGAAAAAATAAAATAAAATAAAAAACTACTACTATGTGAGATGGGATGAAGGGATTACTGTCAGAGAAATAAACCAATCCCTCCATTTGTGATGATAAATCATCTGTCCGTCTGGCTACCTGTCTGGCCTGGTAATACTCTTGCAACAGCTGGTCCCTCTGGATGATGGCCTCTGTCCTCTCCTTCCGGGCCACATCTCTTTCCTCACGCACTGTTTCGATGTCTTTGCAGGCCTGGTTCAGCTCCTTTTGGGCCTCAGCTTTGTCCTTGACCTCGTGACAGAATTTCTCCAGCAGCTCATTCTTTTCACAGATTGCTCGGTCCCTGTCCACCAGCGCTGAGGCCAGCTCCTTCATCAAAAAAAATAATAATAATAATAATAAAGAAAATAAAGAAAAAAAAAGTAAATTTCTATATCTTTTTAAATTTTTACCTTGAGAATTTTGGAATATTTTAATATGATTTGCATATTGTTGTACATTTCCTTTTATGCCAACGTGTTTCTTACATCGCTGTGATTCTGGAATTCCCTCCTTGGGGAGGAATACATTCTTATCTCAGCACAAAGATATGCTGCCAGACAAACTTCCTATTAGATGAAGAACTAAAGAATTTTGCTCCTCTTAAAAGGATTTTTTATGTATTTATTTTGGAGAGCTTCTCAAGTTCATTTTACACAGAAGAGTTAAAAAGCATAACCAAATTTCTCTTCCTGAACTGTGGGTTTTAATAGCAGTGATCATGACGTGGTTACTTTTTAGCCACCCTAAACCTTTGACTGTTGCCAAAAAGAATGACTTCAGCAGTTTAACGACAAGAGATATTTAAGACACAGATGTTACGCAAATGGTCATTCTTCATTAACAGTTTCACTTAAATTAAAAGGAGCCCTGTAAATCTGAAGAAATTAATTTCTTTATAGTGCATGTATATTTCCAAATGTCTCTTATCACAATAGTTATTCCTCCAGTGCTTTCTGATCCCGTCTGTGAAATGGTTAACCGTTTTCAGTTCTCACTGATGATCCCTCATTTTAGCTTTTACCTGTCGGAGAGCCTCCAGCTCCTCACTGGCCACCCGTCTCTCTGACGAAGTGCTCTTTAGCTTCGCCTCTGCCATCTCCAGACCCGTCTGGAGCCTGTCCACCTCTTTGATCACCTGATCCCGCTCACTCATGATCAAGCGATATTCACTGATTACAGAGTCCCGCTCCTCCTTGTACTTCTCGCTGTCCTTTGCCGCCTTGAGCTGCTGGGTCTTGAGCCGCGTCACCTCAGACTGCAGCCGTTCCATCTCTCGCTGTAGCTCCTTATTGTGGGCTGTGGCCTTGGATAGTTCTTGGTGGGTGTTGTCAAACCTGCATCAGGCAGGGATTAAGGAATGCAGTGGATTCAATGCCTCTATTAAACTCCAAAGGGTAAACATTTCTACTCCGTCTTGTGCTTAAAACATTAAAATCATGAACAATAAGATCATAGACTGATCAAATGTGGAATTTAAGCATCTAAAAAGAAAACTATAACTGGGAGGACATCCGCAAAGCTTCATCTGCCTTGGATTAAGCACATTTTAAGCACTGTGCAGATCTGACTTTGGCTCTGTACTCAAGTATTCAGTTTGTAGTATAATTTGCTGCAACTGCTTTTTAGTTTTTTTAACAGTTGCTCAGTTTTTGTGTGAAGTTTGTAGCCCTGCTGGCTTTGTAGACCTAATAATTCCAGCTTTACCTTCTTATTGAAGAAGAGTATTGCTGCTGATAGTGGATGGCAGCATCTCTTTGTTTCAGCAGCATGTCGAGTTGCTTCTGCAGCCGGTGGTTCTCTTCCTCAGCCTGGTCCAAACGACTCAAATCGGCATTGTGACTGGCCAACTTGTCATTGTAGTGCTTCCTCAGAGTCTCATAGTCACTCTTCACGGCCTCCAACTTGTCCACAGCTGTGTCGTAGAGCTTGTTAAGGACATCAGAGGAGCCCTCTCTCATTACCTGCAAATAGCATTAAGTCGGGTTATTTAACGAATTAGAGGGCAATAATGGGACTATATCAAGATAAGAGCTGATGCAGTCACTTGGAAAAAGTTATCCGGAATACTTTTCAACTCTGTTAGATGCTGAAATGTTGTGCTGTTTGATATAAATCTAAAGTGAAGTGCCTAAATCATTTAATTACCCGTTTCAGTGGAGATTAAACAAAATGTTACTTTAAACTGTTGAAATATCACTTGAACTGTAGTGAACCAGATGATAACTTGTATCTAGCTTCTTAACATACTATAGGGCAGTCTGCTTCTGATGCAAGCAGCAACTGGGGTATACTACATGCTTTTAGCATGAATGGATAAGCTTAACTACCATTAAAAATGTATTGCCATTCAATTTTACTAGTTCTGTGGGAACTGTACAGGAAGCAATCGCAGGAGACTGTGGTCGAAACAGTGATTAATGTTACCAGTTTCACCAATTAGCAACCACAGCTAAAAGATGAAGACGCTCAAATGTACAATAAGTACAGTCGACCTGACAGACAGAATTGCTGTCAAATCAGCTGAATAAACTTTTTGACTTGCTACCAGTAAGTTAATTAAGTTAATTTAGTTAATTAAGCACTGATGAGATCCAATGGACTCAGTCTGGCTTCATGTTTACAAATATTTTGTTTGTAACGTTTAAATTACTATTGAATCTAATCCAAATCATGAACAGAGTGCCAAAAACGGACAAACCAGGACACATTTAGACATGAAAAATTATAGTATGTAACTGGAATCTAACAACTGTACAATAAATGTCTTCTCTGGGCTGGCATCACTTAAAACTAATTTGACTCCTAATTTGACTGAGGCTGAACAGTAGTTTATGCAATGATGACATGACTTCTAGAGACAATGGGGAACGTATCCTTGCTATCAACTAGCCCTGTTATACACATTCTCCATGGTTATATAAGGCATTGCTAACATTTAATGATATGGTCTTGTGACTGCAGTCACGGTGAATGTCAGACTGAGTAATGGTGAGAGACTCAGGTCAAGTCATTTTTGTAATCTGAAAGAATGTTTTGATGGATGGAGACATGGAGAGGACAGAGCTTGTCTGACCCCATTTGTCTGAACAACATTGTCCTTTTGGACATAATGGTCACCGAGACAAGAGCAAATTAATGTCCATCTCAAATGTCAAGATCCAACTGATTTTATGTCAGCGGCCAACTAGAGATGGAAAGGGGTGTCTGCAAGTGTCTAGATAGTATATACCCATTTATGTTTTTGTGTCTGTATGTTGTTTGTGTCCCATTTTTAAGCATGAATGGTGACAGAACTGAAAAATTACACAGGCACCTGCTGGTGTAGCATCTTCATATCAGCTACTTCCCTCTGATCATCATCATGCAGCCTCCTGAGCTCCTCGCAGGCCTGTTTCACATGGTTGTGCTCCCTGACCAGCTGGATGTTGTCCTGTCTCAGCACCTCGAGCTCCTCTTTCAGCTGGGTGTGCTCGCTCACCAGACGGCTGTGCAGTGTACTGTGGAGATAGCAGAATGGGTACAATCAAACCATGGGTGCTGCCAGCGATTTTTAAAATCAGCATTTACAGCACTGAATATATACATCTCCATCTACTGTGTCTCTGGCAACATATATTCAGCTAGTAAATCAAAAAAATACACACACACACACACACACACACACACACACACACACAATTTGGATCGCACCAGTTAGCCACAGTGTAGGATGAAGAAAGTAAGTTAATACTTGAATTTAGTAGCTAAAAGCAGCTTCTTAAAAACATCTGAAATGTTTGCTGTAGCCAGTTATGTCACTGCAGCTCTGCTGATTTGTGGTCAGGACTCTAACTTGGCCACTGGGACATGATTTACTGTTGTTGTTGATTTGCTTTAGGCCATTGTTTTGCTGAATCACCGAAACTCTTACAAACTTCAGGTCATAAACTGCTGCCTTGACATTCTCCTGGAACAATTTCTCGGTGCAGTTTCAAAGTAAACTGCATAAATTAATGATTGCAAGGTATATTAGCCCTGAAGCAGAACATCAGTCCCAAACTATGACGCTTCTTCTGCCATGCCTTACTGCTGGTCTACAGATTATTCTGACAGACGTAAGCACCATCTTTTTGTTTTTTATGATTCTTTTTAAAAAAAATATTTTATTAGTCAAGAGCAATTTCGTCTCCTTTTTGGCCTTCTTCCATTGATACATCATGTTGATGAGATTTCTGTGGGTGCTTTCCACTTCCTCTTGTGTTGTTTGCCCTCTTCTTTCAGGATTTCATTACATATTGTTCTTCTGGTGTCATCTTTCCAGCACAATCACGTCAGTCTTATCTCCTTAACTGGAACACCCAACTCGAAGCAGGTTTTGAAGTAGCCAGCACAACAGTTTGCATACAAATCTTTTGTTGCAACTGGAAATGACTAACCGCTGCAGTTTGTGGTCAAACTAATCATTTCAGAACTACCTAAATATTAAATTACACAAAGTACCCCGTGTTGACATAATTTCACATTCACAAACTGTTTTTTGTGTGTTAACTTTCACAGATGGTTTTACTGTGTTCTACCTACAGGCAATTAAGAATCACTAATTAACCTAATCCTGTTCTTGTACTGTGGGAGGAAGCCGGAGTACCCGGAGAGAACCCATGCAAACATGGGAGAACATGCCCTTCAGACAGGAGGTGGAGTCAAACTCAAGACCTTGCTGAGAGCCAACAGTGCTAACCATCACACCACCGTGCTGTCACTAAAAACAATTAATTAATTCATTTAAAGCCACAGGGCTGTTGTGGTCTTCCTGTCACTATATTAACATTAATAGGAAAAAACAAAACAAAAAAAAAAAAACACCGCACCTCTTATGTAATAAAGCTTTAACTTGAAATTTTCTAAAACATGAATCACTAATAGGACTAATTGAAATTCTTCAGAATTACTAAGGGTTAATGGTTAAGTGTTTAGCGACTTAGTAATTTAAGTACAATATATAACTGCTAGACATGAATGTGATTTTCCATTGACAAAAACATGCTGCTTAGAGTGAATGTTTGAGTACAGAGGCAGAGAGGACATTGATAAATAAAGACTCTCTCTGATGTGCAAACAGGACGCAAAAGTACAGGCTTAAACACGGACATAATCCTTCATCTGTCTGTTTGCATTGGGGGCCAGATGTTGGTTCCCTACACTTCAGAGGCTGTATGGCATCATTAAAAATCATACAAATGGACTAGCCTTCCCTTCATGTCAACTCAGTACAGCTTATTTCACTAGACACCAAATGCTCCGTTCGCAGCATTATCCTCACGGCAAAGATGCTCTGCCGCATACACAGGATTCACATACTGATTACAGAGCATGCTTATGGTGAACTCTTTACAAAAGGGTAATACTTATAGAGCATATTTTAGTCTCTTCCCTCAACCTTTAGCCAGAAATGTATGATTTGCCCTGCTACTAAATAATACAAATAGTCCCCCCCCCCCCTCAAACAATCCCAAAGATTAAATCAAATTGAAGAAGACCTGTTGGGATTTTTATAGCTTAACTGAGATTTTGAACTGATATAAAGGCTTCATCCCTATCACTCTTGCAAAAATAAAATCTGTTCTACGCAATCTGCTGTGAATATGTGAGGAAGAACAGAATACTGGCTAAAAATGCTGCAGGCTGAGCTTGAATGCATACAGCACAAATGCACCGGCTGTTAAAAAATTTACAAAGTCCCCTAGTAGGCTTTCCACTTACTGGTAGAAGTCTGCTTTCTTCACAGCCTCCTCGCACCTCTTCAGGGTGGTGCTATGCTGGTTCTGCAGGGATTGCAGGTCTGCCATTGCCTTCATACACTGCAGCTTCAGACGCTCATAGTCATGACCTGCTTTTGCATTCGGTCTATTTCACAGAGCAGGAAACAGGGAAACACACTTGCATCAAAAACCAAGTTCTGAGATGCCACATGGGACAATGTGAGAGCCATAAGTGAGATAAACATGCAAACTTTGTACTTTTGGGAGCGTAAGGAAAGAGAAAGTTCAACTGTATCCTCACATCTTATGCTCAACTCTAAAACAAAACGAGCACAAGTTTACGTCAAATAGCTCTTGCTTTTTTTTGGCAGGGCTTTTAAATGCTCAAGAATGCAAAATACCTCTATCTAAAGAGTGCAGGTAGAAACAAGATTGCTCTGCTTTTCTGCAAATGTGTTGGAAAACAGGCTGTAGAATGAGACTAAAACACTACCTGCAGTCATCAAAGGTGGTTCCAGGTGAAGAGAGGGCGAGACGTTTGCGTAGCTCATCCCTTTCACGCGTCACCTGTCTCAACTCTAACAGAATGGTCTCCATTTTCTCATTCACTTGGTGGCTGTCCATGTGGGCAGGTGGAGGGGAGGACGCTTGAGCAGGAGTACCTGTGTGAGTCAGCATGTCACTGGTGGCTTGTGCCGATCGCAAAGTTCAAATGATGCGAGTGACGGGGTTCAGTGCAGTTTTATTTATGTCAGCTAGAGTGTATAGCTATATTTCAGTAAAAATGTAGTCTATGTTCATCTGAGCTTCAAACTTGGCTAAAGAAATAAAATACAAACATACAAGTTCATGATTATGTTACGGGTAAAGAGCTTGACCATTATTTTATTTAATCTATATAATCGCTTAGCCAAAGTCACTTAAATATTGTCTGTCATCACTGATCTACTCATTCAGTTTTGAATATACCACAGAAATAAACAGTGATAAACACTGGTTCAGCTTCAACAGCACAGACCAATCCTCTCTTCTAGAGTAGAAACAGATCTCGTGTGTGTATTTTTAAATCCTTGTCACATCTGTGTAATCACTTGCATGTGCTTAGAGTCTAAACAATTAGAAGCCGGCTGGTTCCTCAGAACAACAGTTTTTTTCTCCCACCCCTTTTCCAAAGAAGATTTTTTGGACCCATCTTTACCTTAAATCGTTAGTCATCATGAGTACCACACTCACCTAAGCTGCTGAGAGAGCTGCTGCTTTCTGAGTCCGATGGCATGGTGGACAAGACGCTGTAAGTGGACCCTGCAGCATGAACAGAAACATTAAAGTCAGGTCTAAGCGTACTCGACCGTGTCTGCTTTATGGTCAGATGATCATCTCCAGCATTGTATGGTACATCAAGGCAGTGCAGCTTGGGTTACATTCGGGAGCCTTTACTGAAAAAAGCCAGCTGGAGGAATAATAAGGTGGGACTTTCCCCAACTTGGGATGACGGGCCTGTGGGCTGACAGAGTGTAGCTAATTACCAGTTGGGCAGGGAGCTTGAATACATACTAGCCAGGGCCCCAAAGAGGCTGCAGCCTTAGAGCTTCTCCTTTTATCTCCTCTGACAACATCACACAGTCCCCCCCTTGTGAAAGGCCCTCTTTTATAGCTTACAGTGATTCATAATTAACGTTACAGAAAGGAAGCTTTATGTACACCACTGAACAATATGAAGAAGATGATGTTATTTCACACACCAATGTAAAAGTAATTCTTCAGTAGATTTTAAAAGAGAAAAGTATTTAAAAGGGAAATAACTGATGCAATCTGTGTGTGTCACGATCTACCAGAGTGTGCAATTTTCACAACAGATTCAGAAGAAACAATTAGCTTTTTACAACAACAGAGGAACAAATGGTTACACAAATGGTCAAGTCAATTAGAAATGTTGTCATTAAGTTACTATCTGGTCTGTCACCTTTTCTAAGAAAACAAGCAAAAACAAAAGATGTGTTGACTGCCTTCAGTATTTTGCCAAATAAGATGCCATTTATCAGTGGGAGTGGCCAATATTTATCTGCTACAGTACATCATGTTTTCACTACCAACAGTTCTAAAGCAGTGAGATGAAGAACTGGTACACTTTTAAAAATGAAAACATTTTAATTCTTCCCAGAAGTGGACTTCTCAGCAAATTCAGCCCAAGGTCAGAGCGTGCAATGCTGAGCTACATCTCCGACTCAACAGGCCTCAGTTAGCATGTTAAATGCTCAAGTTTATGACAGTATATTTGGATAAAGATGGAAAAACTATGGTAATAGGGATCTGTATTAAAATGCAAACATATGAAAATCAGCCAATAAATATTAATCTTTAGCTAGAAATTGTCATATCCCTCACAAAGCACACATTGATAAAATATCAGAGGGCATTGACTGCATAAATTACAGTAAAAGTAGAGCAAGGAATTGTTTAGCAATAGGTTTTTTCATTGACTATATTTTGTTAATCAAGTTGTTTCAAACGTGGTTATTTATCCTCTACAAGAAGGATTAGAATTTTATTGATGCCTGACTGCACACTGCTTGATCAAACAGCCAGCAGTGCACCTTTCCTGAGATCTTACTGCGCTGCTGTGGAGTGACCAGCTTATAGTTCAGTTACATCAGCAGCTTCCACTCCTGATGTAAAGTCTAGTGTAGACTTAGAGCATGACAAACGATTCTATTTACCCACGTCCCATTACTCTAAATCAACCCCTGACTGGCCATGTTCCCACTAACTAAATGAGTTGAGACTATGAGGAGCCCAGCTAACATGGCTCAACCCTCTATTTCCCACTGAAGGACAAAAAAAAGAAAGAAAGAAAAAGGAGAGACCGATCTCTCTTTGAGCTCTCTTTGTTCTCACTCTAGCTTAAGTTTCCCATGACTCTGAGCAGAGAGTGCCTCAATAGGCAAGGTGCACAATGTCATAACTCACTTACTTTTCTGCTCCGTGGAAGTCATGTGACCTGAGGTCTGACCCTGACCACTTAAGCATTTCATTTAGGTTGATCTCGTAGTTACGGTCACAGCCACTTGATCATCTATACACAATTTTATGGTATAAGAAGACCACTTCTCAAGAACAAATGGAAAGTGGGAAGACTGTCTTTAGTAGGAGTTTACTCTCAACTTGAACATTTCTTTTAAACGTGAGAACAGTCGCTCAAACGTAAAGTGCTGATCTTAAATCACATCTGGTACTATGTGCCACTAACAATAAATGAAAGATATTCTGAATGCTACCCCTTTCCATTAAAAGAATTATGCATTTTTCTACTTGCATCTTAAAGCTCCAACTTAAATATTGTATATAATGAGTAATTAATTGACAAAAGGGGGAAGATTACTTTCTAAGCAATAGATCAGAGTGTTGTCCATCAACAATGAATTTCAGAAAACCATAAAATACAGCTTTTAATGAGGTATATAATTCAGGCCCTTTTTTTGTCAACAGAAGGGTTAAGTTGGGCTTACTTATTTACTCCAGTATCATAGCACAGTCATGGTACAGTTATATAGCACTAAAAGCACAGGTTTTAATGTTGTAGTCACTCTGCTTTGTTCAATATCCCAGTATGCCCACCAAGTCTTTGACCTGATTTTAAAATGTTACCAGTAAACAAATGAGCCAACAACACATCCTTAAACAATACAAAATATATTAAGTAAAAATTGGACTTTATCTAAATTCCTTTCATATCAGTGGAGTTTCTCATAACTAAATTGTTCACACTCTATTCTAAAATAAACTCAGACATTAAACTTTCACCATGAAAACTCAGCACTCCTCTGCATACATGAACACAGATTATTATCACTCTGTCCAAACAACCTTTCAGTTGATTTAATAATTTGTAAACAAACTTTTAACTGGACAAATAAACCAATTAGCATTCAACTTAAAAAAAAAAAAAAAAAAAAAAAAAGAAATTTCTGTCAGTAGCAAAGCAACAGATGAAATTTTACTTGATCCCACTTAACTTCATCTCTGGAGATACATGTGAAAGACTTGGAAAGAAATTATTTGAAATACCACAATATGCATTTATGATGGTACTGCAACAATGACATATGTCCCTGCGGAGAAGCTATTCTAATTAAAGTAGAAGTCTGCTACGCGAGATAGATGTTAGAAGACTGAAAAGCATGCCGAACACAGACATCAGTTTTCTTCTACAGTCTACTTCTATAAATAAGTACACTCTGATATGTACTGTGGTATAAAGTTAATGAGTCACCGATTCTGCAATAACTACCCTCTGTGTCAACAGTTCAAAACCACTGGAGACAACTAGATTCTCTTCTTTCCGCCTAATAAAATCTAGAACGAAACCAAGAAATCGAGCTACATAACACTCGTTAATCGCTAACTGCAAAACACCTGCTCTTGTTTTGCAGTGACAAAGCAAAACTTCCCATGATACACACCCTTATAATGTGCAGCCATTGTGTTATTCTTCCTTAAGAAACGATGAGAACAATCTAAACAGAAAGGTCTCCGCTGACAAGCCTTAGAGCTATAGTTATGTGAAACTACAAAGTATCTTTATTTAAAAAACAAAAACAAAAACAAAAAAAACACACAAACAAATAAAAACAAACAAACAACCAAGCCCTCGGCAATACACACCCTGTTCGGTACTATAGGCATCATATTTACATCATGTGGAACTTTTTGTAGGTCAGTGATTAAAGGATATATTTAGCATTCATGTTATAAGCATTTGAACAGGCAGGGTTTACCAACATGTGGCTCTCATATTTTTTTGGGGTGACTTGTCAATTACTGCAACTGGCTCCTGATGGTGCATATTATGTAAAAACATAGGTTGCTTTTCTCTGGAAAGGCCCGTCTTTTGGCCACACAGTGGAGGAACCTGTCTGCCCAGTAGCAGAAGACAGCTCAGCCCATGTGTGTCCTGTGTGACTACCAACGGGGATTTGCACACTACTATGACTAGCCCAGAACATGCTCATGTACAAAGCTCTTTGGAACTAGAGAGCCTATCAGTACTCAGTTCTAGATCCACTGCACAATTGTGAAATGCAGCGCAAAAATGAGAAGGCTCAGAAAAACTAACAGAAGTGTCCAGCTTGCGTTCTCTTATGAATTATGCCAAAATAATGCATAATTAACACCTGGTAGCTAACTGAGTATGACGCGATAGCAAACAAGAAAGCAACTGGATGGATGTTCCTTTTTTTGTTTGTTTGTTTTTCAAATGTCAAAGTGCAACAGAAGTGCTGAGTAAGGGTCATATGTCAGAGTGCATGCATTATGCTATTGCATAAGATGTCAGGTAAAGTCCAGAGAATACATCATTACTGTTTCAGCATACAAAGAATGCAATAAGAGATTTATGATGAACACAAAAAATAGAGAGTATATCTATAGTTTGTGGATTTATCTGTGAATAAAATCACATGCATGCATTTATCACTTAGTTAGAAAAAGGGTGATTATCCACATAGAAAACAGAACTATTACAAAGTTATTATAAACTAATCTGCAATTTGTGCCATTATGAGACCATATTATCTCAGAGGCTTATCCTTACTTCAAGATATATTTAGTAACCATCAGATAAACTTAAGGGTTAAATAATAAGGGTCGAAGGTGGAACCCCCGATACCTTGGAACATTAAATGTTGTGTAAGATGCAGTTTTAGTTCACCTCTTAAGACAAGCCAACAGTCCATATATTAATGTATCCCGAGCAGGCAGGATGAATATTCTCTAAAAAGTGTATCTGATCACTGATAAATAAAAGAGTTTTGAGATCCTGTGTTTCTGGTAATGCTTAAAAGTTACTCTATCATCCAGCTAATTCAGATTCGGAAGGACAACTGCATCTGAATTAGGTTGAGATATTTAAGAATATCAAGACAGTGCATCCCAAATCCAATGTTGCAGTATCTTGCAACATCTGGTTTCATACGTGTATCAAATCCAAAGATTTATCACTTAAAAGTCCCAATCCATCCATAATGTTTAAATAAAACTGCCACTAAACCAGACGAACTGAATCAATCAGAAACTCCTTGCCAGGGGTCATACTTCTGAAATAATTTCAGTTCCACAAGCACTATACCATTACACTATACAGTATCGTGTTAGTAGTAAACCTATACTATACTGACAAATCCACAGAGAAACTAATTTTCTGTACATCTGCTGTGGAGTATTACAGTAGGTGGACAAAGGCAATTTTGAATCCATTCACAAGTTTATAATAAAACAATAGTTTGCTGAATCCCTTTAAGTTGCAACATTGTAAAGACAGTAGAATTAGTTATTTAAAAGGTAATTTACTTACCGGTGCTGACATAATCTTAACTGTAGTTTCACACCAAAAACAAATCAAACTGATGCCCTTTATTCTCCAGTTTATATCCCCCTCGAGTAATTCATTGCACAGTGCGCACTAAAACGCATTTGATTCATCTCTCATTCGTTTGACTATGACAGTGGGTTATTGATTCCCACACACAGTCAGTCCCTCCCTACATTGATTGAGTCTTTTTAGGTCCATTAAATGCTTTCACAAAAAAAGCTAGCAGGCTGTACTTTTGGTGACATGCTAAATGAAACAAGCACAGTAGTGAGAGTGTAAATAGGCATCAGGTCACATGATTGTGCCCTGAAAAGTCATGCCCTTCATCAAATTGTCATAAGGTCAATAGCACTAATGTTTGTTAGATCATGCTCAGGAGAGGATCGAAAACAGGTTGGATCATAAGCAATATCAAAAGCAAGGGGCCCAAACACACCGTTTCACTGTATTTTAGATAAATCCCTAACTTCTGACACGTCGCCCCTTCTTCATAAACACTATACTCTTATAACAATTTAATTAGGAGGTCGTTAACACTTTAATTGTTTCTCACCACTCGTATGATCCACTGGTCCAATGCCATCCAGCAATAAAGATTGCAGGTGAGGGTGTGTTGTCTCCAGAGCAGTGCAAAACTCTGCGAAATGGTCCCCGTCTTTACTCATTAGTAGCTTCAGCAGAAGGTCCACTTTTTCGGAGTTGGAGGTGCAGTTGTGCTCCAGCTCGTAGCGCTCTGGCTGGCTAAGGGTCCCGCAGTGAGCCAACGCGTCCACAACTCTGTCCACATCTGTTATTGACTCCACCAAGTTCTGGTAACATTTCTCCAACAACTCTTTGTGCTTGGGCTCCATCTCCTCTCCGCTTCGCTCGTCCGCTGTTTACCAGCTCGGGACAAACCCAGCCTTTTAATCTTTCTGGTAGTCAACTTAACTTCGGGCTACTGCCGTGACTCTGCGAAACTACCCCGTTCGACCCAGTCAGGACGGTTTTCAACCCGAATTGACGGATACACAAGAAGTAGCCATATTTGTTGCCCAAGGCTGTTGACTGCATGAAGATGACAACACATTTTCCCAACCGCCGCTCTCTATCCTTTTCGGAAAAATGACGCCTCTGCCTCTTTAAGCCCCGCTTTGCCTGCGCTACGGAAACAACCTCGGCGTCAAATCAAGTTCTTTAGTCATGTTGAAAAGTGTGGAAACTCTCCAGGAGCGCTCTCAGTCAGACTACAAACTCCGCCATGTCTCACCGTTCGAGCAGCTGTAACCCTGTGCCAATCATATTTCCGTGCAATGGACATTTAAGGTAAACGTGGGCGGGGCTTTTTTTTTAGACGCACCTGGCTTCCCGCCGCTATAATTACCGCTGTAATTATTACCACAACTTATGTAATACTGGTTCTGCGCTTTCTGTGTGAGTTAGTTATGTGGAAGGCATTCAAGAATGCCAATAAAAACACACTAAAACAATACTGACGGGCTTGTTTTCACTCACAAGTATTTTTTTTTTTTTTTTTTTTTAGCTGAGGACCATTTAATTTTCATTATTATGCCCAGTTTTTGAAAGTTTACACACCCTTCCCAAAAAGCTAAAATGATGCAAATTATATAAACCCCACATTTAATTGCAAAATAAGTGTAATAATATAACGTATTAGGTTTAAGCTTTTACTTTTTTGGGGCCAAAATCTTTCGAGAGTGTTGGACTTTTACTCCTGTGTTGCATCATTTCTTGTTAAGAAAGAAAATGTTTGAAAACTCTTGCTTTATTTTAAAGAAAAAAATGCGTTGTACTTCCCTTGTTGTATAACTAGTTTCCCAGTGTGCCAAATATGTTCAGTGTTTGTTGGAATACTAGCAGACTGGTGTAGACTTTAACTGCTGATCATGCTTCTGTAGTACATGCACAGTGTAGTGGAATAACCAAGGTCTTCCCTGAAAAAGACCACAGTGCCAGTAGGGCAGCAAAACCTGCACAGATTTGCAGGTAACTCATATCATGTGCACTAATGCACACCCATGGAAGATGTTGGCTTTTGTATTGCTACAAACCTTTGTATTGGTCACTCTTTTACATCTTATCCATAATATTTAAAAATGTAAAGAATTAAAAATCTAGTTTAGACATTTTTTCTTGGTGAACGTACTGAAGAACTACGTTTGCTAAGAATGAGAAGTATTTCTGAACCAGTGACGTGCTTTCGGTCTGTTTTGAATACAGCGCTGTTCAAGGGTCATTCATTGTTGGTTTTTGACCTTTTATGTAGCTCATTATGTACCAGAGACTTCCTGAATTACTTCCCCTAGTGTTTTCGGATGTGATTGATGATATTGGAGACCTCATAGTTAAATTAAGAAGTCACCTTTATAGTCTACACAGTTGCAATATCAGGCATTTAGCTTACTTTTTTGCTATATAGAGATCTATATAGCAGTGATTATATGACAAAGTGTTACTATTAAATTATTAACTGAGCGCTGGGTAAGCATTTATTCTTTTCCAGCTTTAGATGAACCATTTCCTCATCCACCCAGTGGTTTCATAAAGTAACAGAATCAACCTTAAACATTTCCAGAGTGTAATTGTATTAAGTGAAGTATATAAACTGTTTAAAACATTAGTTGGGAAGCTTTGATGACTCTTTCAGCATCCTTTACAAAAGATAACATGAGGTTCTCAGGGTCTAATGAAATTTGTCTTCATAGGTGACAAAAAGTCAGAGATATTTCTGTGACTGGTGGTTCCTTAACCCTCTTGTGCAGCAAGAAGAATATGAAGGGTGATAAAATAAAATCATATATATTCTGTTGAACAAGATCATTTTTCACTTCTCAGTTTTTCTAGTGAAATACTGTTTCTGGCCGACAAATGTACTTTTGGTGAAACAGTGACTGATCACATGTCAGCTCTACAGTAAAGCCTACTGATGAAAGGTTGTGCACTGCTCTAAAATCACAAAATTACCAGATGATCTTCTCCTCTGAATTTTCTTATTATTATTTATTCTAATGATAATTACTAACTGGCTGAAGGTTTTAATAAAATAAAATAACTATATGCCAGTAGACACATTGTATTAGATACGGTGGATGACACTTATTATGACTTTGTTGTACATTTTATAAGAGTTTATCATATGTTTCTACTATCACATCAAGTCATACCATGTAATACAGTGATTCACTCTCCAAAACACAGCTAATGATTAGGTAGCAATTTTATGGATGCAAATTCAAACACATTTAACACTTAAGCAGTTTTAAATGTAAATATTACTAGATTACAAATTGGACATTGCTTGACTTCTTCTTAAAACCCAGTCTGCTCAGAAAATCCCACACATACATTGTGGGCATCTGAATAGGCTATTATTTGATTACAAGGGAAATCTAGCAGCTCTTATTTCATGATTTGATCTCTCTTTTTTGTGAGGAGATTATACCTCCAGATTGTAGTTGCCTGTTTCTCATCTGGATTGTCCCCTGACACAACTGCCCCGCTCTGCAAGCTTTATTCTGCTCCACATAATCCATCAGGTCTCAAAGGAGGGAGACGTCACAAAAAGATAAAATCCTTACGGAAACTAAATTGTTTAGAATCAGACAGCAATATTAAATGTAAGATTATATGTCTATATCTATATGTGTTCACAGCTAAACTGGAGATGTGTGGAAATCTACTTAAAGTTTGTTTATGATAATTGCTAGTACTTTTTAACATAGAGCTAGAGCGTATTCCCTTTATGAGGATTTTCACTCTTAGCTAGAGCTTGCTAAAGCTTAACTTGGTAGACAGTGTGCCTATACATTTCCCCTCTTAAATTCGAAACAGCTTTAACAATTATGTAACAACTGCACTAATTTCTTTTCCCTGCAGGGAAATCTATTCACCGCTTACCGAGAAAACAAGTTGCAATGTTTAGGAATTATGTAAATTCCTAAAAGCATCAAACAGATTCAAAACACTGAAATCTTGCATTTGCTTTTAACATTAAGTGGGAGCAATTTATAGAGTTCTACGCTGTCTTCTGGTATATTGCTTCTCCTGCCACACAAATAAAAGCATATGGTTGGACAGGATTTATTTTCTCACTCTGTCAAAAATCAGAGGAAGAGCCTCAAGCCCCACAGGCTGCCACTCTGCATGCTGGATAGTGATATCTGCTGCTACATCTCATTATGTGTTGTTCATCTAATCCTTGGGTTTGTAATTTGCTTATATGCACTCATGAAGTTTAAAGCAGGATTAGGTCCCTGGCAACCAAATGTCACTTAGCTGCACAATCCTCACTGGATGGCTGGAGAAAATCCACTGCAAATAAAAAAAGAAATTGCTCAATACTTACTCACACTGATTGTTTATATGATAGTATTAAAAGGCTGGTGATGAACTGCAGATTTACTGCGTCTGAAATAAACTTTTATTGAGACCTTTGTTTTGTGATATTACAAGTTTTAAGAGAAGATCTTAAAATTTCATTACAAGTAATATAAGAAAAAAAGCCTCAGGCTAAGGCCTAGTTCAGGCTGCTCTTCACAGCTATTGCACCTTCCACTTGGCCCAGTGACGTGGACAGACGTCTTTGTGTCCCAAGCTCCATAAAGAGTGCATCATCCACTATGCCATCACATCTACAAGTTAATAATTAAAGCACTTTGTCTAGAAATCAGGATCACGGAAGTGTTCTGTCCTCCTCTTAAAGTAAAAGCAAGCTAAATGGAAGCCCTCCTCTCTCCCCCGTGTGATTTCACTTTGACCTATATCTTTCACGAGATATCAGTGCAAAATCTTAGCTAGAGAGAAAATACACAAATGCCAACATCAAATATTTATCATTCTTTGTCCTCAGGCTGGTGGACTGTTTTCATTTCGGGTGTATATGAAAAGTTAGAAAGTGTACAAGAAGCAAGGTTCGCAAAGAACCTATTTGTCTCACGAACACATCCCCTCTGAGGCTACACTTCGAGGCCACTGAACACAACAGAAAGACAACTTTAGGACACTCGTGTCTCCAATATGGACACTATTTATAGCCTTGAGAAAAGCTCTATGAAGCTCCGCTCCATATCACTTGAGCTTCAAAGCACACCTGAATGAATTTCTCTCCCCTTCTCAGATTATAAAGCAAACACGCACGCACAAACAGAACTTATGTAAGCCACATTATTCACACCTTTTGACAAGAGGCTGCCGCTCATGATGCTCAGAGGTGGAGGGGGCTTACCCACTCGCTGTAATACAGACCTAGGTGGTGCAAATGAGACTGGCTTTGACATGCAAATCGCTCATTGTGCATCTGCTTAGAGCACAAAATCCACACGCAGTCATTTTTCATGCAAAACACACAATCCCATTTCACAAAGAAAACGTGCCAAAAATTTTTTTTATTGAAATCAAAGGTGGTTGTTTTTCCTTTTTTTTCTTAAGGCATCCACTGAATTTTGACAATTATTATGTTACAAAGCAAAGTAGTTAGTGCAGGAAATACTCAGCAAAAGTTAGTTCAGGCAGATCAATTCTACAGAGGTGAGATAGTTTGTGTGAACTAAGAGCCCTCTGCTGGCAGTAAAGCATACAAATCAGCAAAGGACACTGTTGAAAGACTAAACAAAATATTGAGAAACAGAATATGGATAACTTCCTGTAGCCATACAGCTAAGATTATCGAATGTTTGCTAGCCAAAACAAAAGAAAATAATTGCGTAGGTCCACAGGCTTACTCGAACGGCACAATATGATCTGTCTTTAGGCTTTGGCGTTTCAGCACTGAGTGAAAGGTAAATAATTGTTGATTGGCAATAAGCTAATTTGCATAGACTTGGAAGCAAGAGTTAAATTTCAGTTAACTAAAACAAACACCCATTACAGAAGAGATGCAAATATTATTTCTTACATTCAGAGAATGATTGATTGATTGAGATATGATCATATGCATATACAATAATAACATACACCTTTGTAAGTAGGTACACACAGTTGCGATGCTTGGCAATACATTCACAAAGCGCTGTACTAAATATTTCTTTCTATATGGATTGCAAAAATTAGTCACATGGCACACTAGCTCTTTTTCAGATCTTACTTTCTTTTTACTTTGTGAAGTTCTACTGTTACCCCAAAATAGGTTTCCTACAAACTAAAGTACACTTTAACTATTATTGTGTAATATAGTCATTGCAGTAATTTAGTTAATTTCAGGCACACACACATTTTGTTGGCTACCACTCAACCTTTTGTGTAAAAAGAATAATATTAATGCACCTTTAAAATATGAATAAATGCAATACAGTAGCAAACACTATGTAATTTAAGAGAATCAAAAATATATATGTTGATTTGATGTAATAATCAGAAAAATGGCACTAAATGCATGCAACAAATGGAATATAAGGTCATATAACATTGTTTCAGTGTGGATGTATATGATGTCCTTTTGAGACACGCTCCTTTGGGGTCTTGGTGCTTTTTAGTCACTACCTCCACACAGCTTCAACAGCAGCTTCTTGTAATCCCCAGAGGTATCACCCTGAGAAATCCAGAGAAAGCGCATCACATAACAAGCACACGGTGATTAAGCTTTGATCGTCAAAATGACAAAAACAGTGGGACTTACTGAGATATCAGTGTACAGTGATTTTCCGTAGGTCTTCAGATACTCCTGCCTGATGTCCAACATATCTACCTCGGAGCGGGACACCATGACACGGATGAGGGTTCTGTCCTTTGTCCCTGCTCCCTGTGAGCACAATGTAATACCTCGTTTATGTCTTCTCCATTCTCTCTTCACAAAATCAGAGCACTAAACTAATTATCCGAGGGATGACAGACAACAGATGTACCTTCATGGCCTTATTGAGCCTCTCTGCAAAGTAACCGGGGGTGTTCTTGATGCACTTCACTAAAAAAAGTCAAATGAAAGATAAATAAAGGAGCAGAAGATGCTGTTGTACATATAAACCAACAAGACATAGCACGCTTAAAAAGAAAAGACCGTGAAAATTGAATGGATGGAACATGAGACACTTCTGTACATATTTAGTTTATATTGTGTCCGCCAATAAGGTTGTGTAACTGACCCAATTTGTGGTTTTACTACCTTGGTTATTTTTAATGAATGCAGAGCACAAACAACATGAGATCTACAGCATCTACAGGTCTACAGCAGCAGAAGACCATTCCTGTCAGCTAAGAACAGGAAACTAAGGCTACAGTTTGCGCAGGCTCACGTCTGAGTCTCGATTCTGCTGCAGTACTCAAATGGCAGGTTCTGAATTTAAGGTAAATAACATAAAAGTGTAGACCAATCGGGCCTTGCATAAACGGTTCAGGCTGGTGAAGGCTTTGAAGGACGTTTTCTTGGCAGACTGTGGGCTCCACAGTACCAACCGAGCACTGTTTAAATGTTGCAATGTGTCAGGTCTGTCAAGTCTAACCTGGTGTAGATCCCTGACGTATACCTACCTAGAAATGTAAGTGCATGTTGTAGTTGCTATATACATTTAACAAACTACACTTGTGAGCTTGCTTGGCGAGCTTATGGTGCCAGTCAACACTTTCAACACTTATGATGAAAGTCGCCAGTGAATGAGGGTGTCGTATCCTCTTCCTCAGTTTAAGTCTTTACCTCATTTATATTTCTAGCTTTAATATACAGCTGGAAATATAACTTAGTTGATTCTACAAAGCCCTCAAGAAGTGTTTGCTGACATTTAACAGACTGAAGAATCAGTTTCTAATTTTAAAATGCCTCATAAAAACCAATGTGTAGTCTTCAGTCTGTCTTGCCACCATTTGCTTTCAATCATGTATTTAGGTCAAACAGCTGCCTGTATTGCACCTGCATAGTATTTATAGGAAAGTCTTGCAGAACAACCTCAACCAGTGGCTTTAATATATACTTAAAGCTTTTGCATGTCTTTGGAAAGTCGCTTCAGTTTGTTCCGGGCTTGGAAAAAAGAGATCCAGAGAACGTACCCACAGCCACCATGCCAGACTCAAGATTGCCAGACATTTCCCCGCAGATGCTCTTCTCAATGTCCTTCCCGCACATATGCTGGTACTCCTGAAAGACTATTCAAAGACAAGATACACAAGCATGACAGTTACAATGTAATTCTTTAAAGGTTTAAAAGCATATGTGCTAAAGCGATTCTATTTATGACACTGAAAACAAAATAGTAAACTTCCTGAGCTACACACCTGCCCTAAGGTGAGGCTTGCTGCGAGCACACAGGATGGCATTAAACTGAGACTCATCAGTTCCCACCTTATTTTCTCCTGCTGCATACAGTTTCTGAGGAAAGAAGGAGAAGGATGATTATGGCTTGCATTTGCTTTCAGAGAGCGTTGAGGACACGAAGCCATCTTTAAACAAGTACCTGAGCATCCTGTTTGGCCAAAGAGATGTCAACATTTGGCCTTTCATCACGATTTCCCTAGAGAGAATAGAAGGAAGTAGCATTGAGAGCAGAAAAACATTATGTGGCACAGTGCAGAAGTTAGGTCAGAACTTCCCTTTATGAGAAAGCTCTTTGTAAGTCCAGCAAAATGTGCTGATGCTACCTGACAGAGAGACACCAGGAGTCTGCGAAAGTGTCCAGACGTGTCGCTGCTAATAGAATCCTCCAGGCTCTTCCCGTACTCTGGAAGGAAGGAGGGGCTTTTTAGGAAAATATATTCATTTCCATAATATTTGCATAGGACATTTCAGACACTGACTTTTTCAGAATTCATTATTTACCTGTTGATCAAATAAGCCTGCTCAGCTTAAAGCAAAATATACCCTTATATTAATAAAAAATTTTAAAAAAAACAGGTCTTAATAATGTCTTCCAACAAGAATTTGAATAAAAAGTAGAAAAGCCAACATTAAAACTCACCAGCTTTGTAGATTCTGGCAATTTCCTGAATCTCTGAATTGGAGCGTGATGACAAAATCTCAATGAGACAAGCCTCATCAGTTCCTGCACCCTAAAACAATTACAGAAAAGCATAGCGAATGTGATCAACATTCATTTGTAGCCAGCCATTTCACATTCACTTATTTTCCTAATGCACGATGAGCGAGATATTGTGGTTTGGGCAGGAAAACCAAAACTGAAACCATTTACTGAGACAACCGCATGAGCTTCCAACCTTTATAGCCTCTCTGAGTTCAGATGCATCAAATTGGGCTGGAGTCTTCAGCATGGCAAGAACCAGATCTTCAAAGTTTCCAGTTAGCTCAGACTTCAGATCCTTGGTTAAATCCTAAGCAGAAAAACAGAAACATCTGACTGCAAAGTCAGCTAAGATAAAACTGTCACAAAAGCATTATTATTTATGAAAGTACCTTTCCGTAAGTAGTTTTATAAGCTGCTATCAATGGAACCCTCTGCTTTTTTGAACGATTTCCCAGAAGTTCAATAATGGCATTTTCATCGGTGCCTGTCAAGATGTTATTTTGTTAGAATCAATTTATGATGTGTAAAAGGAGAAGGAGCAAATGAACTGCTAATGGGAAACAATATTATATCTGATGGGTTTAGCATACTCAAATGCATATTTTACTGACCAAAACCCTTCATTGCCTTTCGAAGAACTTCAACATCCTTCAGTGGATCAGCCCCTGGAAAGTCTTTAATAGAACCCCTGTACCCTGTCTAAAAAGCATAAGAAATGATAAACATATATATAAATAAATTATACATATATCTGACATGATAAAATTCAACACAGTAACAAGTGTGTATGCTGTGGTAATTCTATTTGTGTTAAATACCACAGCATGCACCTGCCACATCTTACAGGCATGGCAGGGCCCTGAGGGTTGGAGGGACCCCCACTTCCATATCCAGGCATTGAAGGGTTAGTGGCAGGTGCTCCTGGGTAACCTGGCATGGGTTGGCCTGGGGAAGGGCCTCCTGGATATCCCTGCGGAGCTCCTCCTGGCTGCAAATGAAGGACAGCTAAGTACATGGTGACAAATGCATATTAAACAAATAAGGTTCAGATGGGAATGGTAAAGATAAGGAAACTTAAACAAATGAGATTTAGCCTGAGCCAGTCCATATAGTATTAGCGAGCTGACACGTAAGAGGTGAAGAGTGAGATAAGAATTTACATACCGCTCCATAGCCACCTGGTGCTGCACCCCAGCCTCCACCTGAAAGAAAATATTGGCTTAAAGAAAGAATAGTACCTCACAAATGTAATCTGTCATGCTGCCTTCTTGGAGCCTCACCTGCTGGAGGCATGGATGGATAACCTCCTGCTCCAGGCTGAGCAGGGTATCCACCAGCTTGGGGAGGGAAGCCTCCAGCTGGAGCGGGGTAACCACCCCCCTGGGGTGGATAACCCCCTGCTGCTGGTGGGTAACCACCTGCCTGGGGTGGGTATCCGCCTGCCTGTGGGGGGAAGCCTCCTGCTGCAGGTGGATAGCCACCTGCTGCAGGGGGGTAGCCACCTGCTGCAGGAGGGTAGCCACCTGCTGCTGGTGGATAGCCACCTGCTTGGGGAGGATATGCCCCTGGTTGAGGCGGGTAGCCTCCCGCCTGTTGTGGGTATCCTCCAGACTGAGGAGGGTATCCTGGGTAGCTCATCTTCAAAACCTGGAGGTGAAATAAAGCTGGAGACTATCACTGTGTAAATATTTGTTTTTTATGTAAAACTTTTTCAGGGAATTTATGTTTTTGTCTAAAGAATGTTTACTGAATGGGCTCGTTAAATCTCATATAGAGCAGAAACAAAACAAACATTTTCCCCAAGACAATAGGAAATTGTTTAAATGTCTCTCACCACTTCCACTGATCCGTATCCCTGTCATATGATAATGACATTGCAATGTGTTCACTGTTTATGAAACTGTGCAACTTTTGCTTCCCCATTCTCAGAAAACAATATAATATAAACCCTCAATAATGCGAACAAGCAACAGTTGCCAAATATTAATAAGTAATAATGTTATTTGGACAAAGCTGATTAGAAAAAAATTAGAAGTAAAGCGGGTCATCTGCTAAGTGAAAGGTGAGTGGTTTAATACCTGAATCTTATAGTCTGCATGTCAAAGAAATTCTAAACAGAACAAATTTTGTTCAGGGCAAAAGATAATGAGCTGCTGAGCTATATGCAAAGCATGCTTTCTGTAACTTCAAAACTGTCATTGTGCATACCAGCAGGAAAATATTTTGGGTTTGTGTTTGTGAAGTGAAACTATCAAACAGTTTGAGTGTGAAGTTGAAGCAATGTCCATACAGTTTAAAAAGATGTCTAAAGATATGATTTTCATGAGTTAAAACGAAGACAAAAATGCTTGAATTTCAATGAATGTACCTATTTACTACGTTGTTATTCTTTATCTGTTCATATTTTGCAATGTGTCGATAAAAGACCTTCCTTCCTTAAAAAGGAATGCATGTATTTTGCAAGAACAAATGCGTAAACACAACTTAAAAAGTTAACGACAGCCAAACAAAAGACGATTTTTCGAAATTACTGATTTTAGTTTGAACAGAAAGACTAAGGGTGTGTTACAAATGAGTTCTTGGAAAACATTTGGTTGCTGACACTCCCTTGCTTTTCAGGTTTTATTTTCTCAGTATTTTGAAACAATGCCACAGGCACTCGTAGTAAATACCACCAGTTAGGCAACAGAAAAAATACGTAAGCGAGGGGGAACTCACATAAATTCCTACAGTAATTAAAAACAACTAACTGTTGTATGTGTAGTACATGTTTCGACTTTGAACGTCGAAAAGCTCTTTTAACGTCAAAAGCAGTAAAATCAAAGTCCTTATACTCGTGAGAGCATCACAGGCCTGCATTTTCTCAACTAACCAGCTGTGATTTTACTGTTCAATAATAAACGCATAATAATAAAAACCTTGGCCCGTTCGTGATGGTAAGAAGCATTAAGTGATTTAACCGTGTGCCCTGACGCAGAAGAGCAGAAACGACCCAGCCGTCCGTTAACGTTACACAACACTTTCCAACCGAGTTACTGCTTTAGCATGTAGCATCCGGCCTGGGCGACTAATAAAATATTTATTTTAATTCCTTACATACATTTTACAAGCGCTAGCGTGCCGCTGTGACGTCCCCAAAGCAGAAAGTTAATTGCTAGTTGCTATCTGGTAACGTCACCATTAAACGGCTGTTTGTTTGATCAGGCAAAGCTAAACGAAACAAAAATAAGTCAACAGCCAAAAAATGAGCCGCTACATTTCTGCAAGTTCCTCGCTTTTGTTTATTGCAACGTAAAGAAATATTTGTTTTAAATATATTGCAGTGGAAAAAACTATAGATTAGAGTTACTTACTTGGCAGATGCGGGCGTCAGATCCAGGAAGAGCCAGGCAGGGAGAGACCAGCCTGAATGTGGGTGGGTCCTAGTTTCCGTGCTAGCAGTAATAACCTTTGCTTTGCTTGTTGTTACCGCTGGAGATAGAGACCACTGTTGAGTCAGAGGGCTGTGATGTGTCATTCTCTCCACACTGAGCACTGGAACATTGTTTGGCTTTAATTGATTAAAGTTGCTTCCATACAGGGACAAAAACCAAAAGATGATTTGTAACTTAATAACAAAACATTAAAAGTGTTTTATAATGAATCTACCCCCCCAATGGAACCTGTGTATCTATGCAAACAGGGGATTTCTGTGTATGCACTGCAAATGCCCCAAGCTTCCACATCACACTTGTTTACTTTTTAAATTTCTATTTTCATGTCTCTGGGCCACATGACCTCTTGTATAATACAAATTGTTATTTAAAAAAGCATGAATCATAGCGGGTAGGACATCCCCAGACCTTTCATTTGGATCGTAATTTAGATTATTTTGAGCCTCCAAAAATGAATGGTTAAACACATTATTAAAAAAAAAAACAAAACACGCGTGGGCAATAAAAAAAACCCACTATTTTACAAGTCATGGGGTTATTACATGTTTTAGCACGACATTTTAGCTTTCTTACTGAATTAGTCAGTATGAAGCACTAGATGGCAGCAGCCCACTTCCTCATTATAATCCACTGGGCTTTTCATTTGAGCTAACACCAAAGCAATTTTGTGTGCGTTTTATATCTGGAAATCATTAATTATAGTAAACATGAAGAAGTTTATCGACACTCTCACGAATGAAGGAATTGAAAACCCGACATGAAGTTTAGATATTAAACAAAAGAAATATAAAGCACTTTTGTAAATATGTGAAATCTCATATAAGTTTAATGTGGCTTTTTTAAAAAAAAATTATCATCATCACTTGCGTTATATTTAGACGATTAAACAAGTACAGAGAAGTTCCCTTCTTAATACAGATGCCAGCGAAGGTAATCAGAAAGAGATGCAAACTCATGTTGGCCCTCCTATTCTCTGTGACGCAACGCAGAGTCCTTGCCTGTTTGCTGCTCCAGTCCTCCAGCTGCCATACAGCCTTTCCATTTCAAACTTACACCGAGCCCCTCCCGTGACTTCTCTCCTGTTAGTGGAGTCCTCCTCCCAGGGCTTCCCCCAGGTGAACACACGCAGAGATTAAGCCCAGTCAGGCGCTGCAGGGGGATGACTGGAAGAAGTTGGGTTGTCCAGAGAAACCGGCGGTTCTGACGGTGCTGTTTTAAGAGGAGAGGCGCAGACCTCCAGAAGACACCATGATGTCTGCCGTAGAGACTGGTGTGTACCAGCCCGCGCAGCTTCTCAGCTGGGTCTACATGTCCTTACAAGACACGCCGAGTAGCGCTTTTGACGGCTTCAAAGTCGAGTCGGACTCCTCTCCTCTGGACGTGAGCACCTCCAAGCGCAGCGCAGCTGATCTGAGCTCCAACTATCTCAACAACTTCTTCCATCTGAGCAGTGAGGTAGAACGCATGTGATGCTGTCTCAATCATTAAGTTGCGATGGCAGGTTATTATCTCCGTATTTGGATTAAATCTTTATCTTTAATGTTATTTTTTATTTATTTATTTATTTGCTGCAAGTCTCTCCCTGAATGTTCTTCTCAGATATTTCAGCCTTGGTTACTTTGCTGCCCATACTGCAAACCTCACCTGCATGCCTTCATTTGGGTTGCCCTGCGGTGACTGGGTAGCATATGAATATGCGTTTTGTACCCAGATATAGTGCCTGAGTGTGTTCAGACTGTTCTGGTGTCAGCCAGATGGGGGAATGGTAGGTTGAGAAAGATCTCTCACAAGCTTAGCCACCCCAACCCCTTGGCCTCTGCATGGTTAGAGCGGTATACAGTGTTAATTCAGTGCTTAATAAACTACTGACTAATTGAAGAAAGGGATAAGGATTTTTTTTAAACAAACTGAGTACTTTGTGATGTTTTCTTTAAATTTTGACATCTAAATCCACAAGTTTTTACTTGAGACATGAGACATTTCCACATATCTGGCGTGTGTGCTTTAACTTCACGCATGCCAAGATATCTAGTGGTTTGCTGTCTCTTGCATAAGATCTCACTGCTCTAAAGCACATGTGCATCTGACCACAATTCGTTATTGTGCGATGCCTTCAGAGTAAACAGTGTCCGCAGGCTGTTCTTCATGTTGGTTGGCCCTGCAGTGCCATAGCACCCATCTCCTCTAGAAGCACAATGATGCTGATTATGTCGTGCCAGAAGAACCATTTGTAAGAATGCATGACAAAGGCATTTTGTTCTAATGAGGAAATGGACACTATTGGTTCACACAGTAAGGACTGCACATCTGCAGAAATCAAATAAGGTTGGCTACTGTCAGGGAGACAAACAGGAGAATCAATCAGGGTGATGGACTGACAGACCCCGTGAAATGTTCTTTTATAGCAGAGTCACAACAATAACCTTCTGTAACTTTCTGTGTTTTGGGGATATGGCAAACACTCTTGTGTAGAGCTAAAACTGATGAAATGAGTAAAATCAAAAATTAAACAACCATCTGTCAAACAAAAAAGCCAAAATCTGCTAACTCCAAAGTAAAAATCTTACAGTTTTTACCTCTGATAGTTGAGTATTTCTGTGTTTTGATTGATTTTGAAGCTATTTGAATACACTACCTTGGCCTTTTGGAAGTTATGTTGGGCATTACTTATGAGCTTCGTACATTTGTAGACATAGTTAAGAGCGCGTATCAATGGAAAAATAATTATGATTTGTTTGGGTGGGGGGCGTTGCTTTTCTCTGACAGAGCTTGAACAATAATTTCTACAAGAGGACTTCACCTTATGGATCTCTCAACAATATTGTGGATGGCCTGAGCTCACTGGCAGACCATTTCTCAGACCTTTCCCTGTCTCCTGAGACACGGAAGCCCAGCAAAAGGCCGCCACCCAACTACCTATGCCACCTTTGTTTCAACAAAGGACACTACATCAAAGACTGCCCTCAGGTGAGACACACAGTGACACTTTACATCAAACAGCTGCACAATATGTGGCTCATTTGAGCTGTCTATCAAACGCATGTGAAGTGCTGCATGAATAATACATTTGTAAAGTAAATGTGATGACAAATCCAACAAATCACATCCAGTTTCTTCGTCACATTTCTAGGTATTCTTTCACAATTGTACTGCACTCAATTTAAACTCTACATTCCAAGTTAGAGTATTATGTTTGTATTATTATTATTTTTTTAGTGTGAAATACAGTCCTCAGCACATATTTGAAGGTGTACCACCACAGGTTGGTAATGAGCAGCAGATGCCAGATTGGATCTCGGTGCTGGCCTTAATGAAAGATGATAGGTTTTTCTGTGGAACTAGGCACGACCTCCACTCCAAACATGAAAGAAATATTACCAGTGCTTTATGTGCAGCTGTGGTTCCCCATTGATCATGTTCTGAAGGAAATGCTTGACATTTGTTAGGTGTAATAGAAATAATAAAATGACTGATGGACAGGATGTGTCCAAGAAACAAAGAAGCAAAAACTTGAATTTAAAATAGCAGGTCAACTTTTACTAATCAAATGTATCTATACCACCCATCCATCCTTTTTTCTGCTTATCCAACTGAATCACACACACACACACTCTCTGTCTAGCGATATATAGATAGATATCTTGTAATACCATGTCACACAGGATATCCCTCTCCAAACATGGCTAGTGATTAGGTAGCTTTTTTTTTTTTAAGTAGAAATTGCTTTCTTTTGCAAAATCTGAAAGCAGCAACCTCCTTTTATAATACCACAGACTATAATACTGGGTGATCAGTTTCAGTTATTTCAGTGTTTGTCAAGTTTCATCTATCAGAAAAGCCAAGTTAAACATATTTTTAAGAATATCAATCTCTTTTTGGGGGTGACATATAACAATAGCAGTTTGAGACTTTCAGAAAAAGTCAAAAGAAGATTGCTATTCCATTTGCAGCAAATCATATTTGGCTCCGTTCTGGGAGTTTCCCACCTTTCCATGTGCATGGAAAGTCCAGTATGAGGAGAGCAACAGCAGACCCTCAAGCACAAACAGCATGGAAAAATAAAAATGGGTTAAAAGTTGGTTTGAAGTAGTTATAAGCAGGTTAAAGTTAATTAAATAGTAAACCCAATGTGATCACCTTTTAACAGCTACCAAGATTTTAGGCTGAGATTTTGCACTGAACCAAGACTATGCTAACCGATGCCAAATCACAGTTAATTAGATAAAACATTTAAAGCATGTTATTAATAACACAAGGTAGCCTTTTTTTTAAAACGGTGTGACAAATACCTGTTAGGTGTGCTTAAACCCATTTGCTTTCTTGTGAATGGGAATGCTGCTAGCTTTATGTCTGTAAAGCTAGTAGCATAGAAATACTATAGACTGTGAGCCAGTGTTAGCATAAAGACGGGAAATGGGGAGAGCCAGTTTAGCTCTGTCAAAAAGAACACAACTGCTTATAATTACTGGTTTTATGCTTTTTGCAAAAATCAAACATTGTAGATAGCATTACTATGCTTTAGAGGAGCTGGTAGGGAATCTAGTGATTCTACCCTACACCAATTGTTGCTCTTTTTATGCTAAGCTAAATTAAGCTATCATTCCAGATGACCTACATTTTTTAATGTGAGAGTGATATCAAACTTCTTATCTATTTCTTAATATATAAGGAATAAACACATTCTCCAAACAATTCTTTCACTCAAAAACAATGAGTACGAATCTCTTTTTTCTCCCTCGAGTTTGATCGTTCTCTCCTAAAGTCTTGACTCTGCCAACACATGGTAGATTAGTGTACTCTAGCACAGAATACAGCCCATATAGGAATGTAAGGAATGCTGACAGCACATGTGCAGTGACTTTATAGCTCTTCGCACATTCACATCTGTGAACACCTGCCAATTGCTATGAAAAGTAGGTGTATATTCTGTATTTTTCTTTGGTGTCATGAATCACATCTTCATCTAAGTGTATCAAAGAAGGTCCTAATCACACACTTTAAAGCCACAGACACTTGGTAGAAATATTGACAACCCTTCCTGTTATGCTATTGGTCCTTTACAAGCTTCTGACTCAATCATCTCACAAGCTTTGATGTTTCTTAGATGTTCTATATGAAAACTTAGTTCTAACTTTTCACTTGTGATTTTATCCAACATTGAACACAAAAAGCTCACTCCTTGACAAGCACTCCTTTAAAACCGAATAGCAATGGGTCTGGAGCCTTTACTAGCTGACAGTGGGCAAAAAGCATGGGCTAACACAGAAATTAAGATAACTATACATTATCAGATCCACATATACAAATCAGGAATGTGTTTGGACTGTGGACGAAGCTGTAGCAACCAGTGAAAGTGGGTAAATGTAGAAACTTAACACAACAGGCTACGAGTGGAGCTCTAACGAAGCAGCAGTAACTATTGTGCCGTTGTGCTTTACACAACTTGAGGTTTAGAAGTTTTATGAGATAAGCTGCGTCACAATCTTCATCTGTAAGTTGTGATTATCTGTTTGTACCTTGGTGTATTGTGAGTAAGTCTTTCGGCTGAGTCTGACGCTAGGAGACAGAGAACATTTTGTGGAGCTGCAGTGGATAGGAATCAAAGGATGTCATGGCTCAGTAAGATGAGAGAAGGATCCACACAGGAAGTCTGTGCCTGAAGCCTTAAAAGCATTTTCTGGAACATCAAGTCTAAAATTATACGACGAATACATGGCAGGTAATGAAAAAAAATAAAACGTTTTAGGTATAAGAGAAAATGCTAATGCTGCCATTTGGCATTTCAATAGTTAACATCGTGCTGACAGCACTGTGGAGCGTTGGGTTACTTGCTTCATGAGACGATTGAAACGTCAAAGGAATTGTCAGAGATATTTACGATTCTGCTTTATTGCTATACTCTTTAAATTATGCAAAATCTGGAAACCATTTTTCCTCCTGGCTTTTTGCCACTCTTGCTCTGCTTTAGAAAAATGATGTCAGATTTTATCATGTGTTGCTAATATTTCAGACCCAAAGGGATGATGACGGAGCTGTCGCCATGACAAAAGGTCTCTTTAGTTGAAGTTGTGATGAACGTTCGTCTGAAGCTGTGCCTAATCAACAAACTGCTTTTTGTTCTCGCTGGTTGGAATCTGAGGCATTTTTAGCCAACTGAAGTTTAGTATGCTTTTAGTATGCTTTTGATGTCTTAGGATTGCAGAAAAATAGTTTAAAAAAAGTTAAAAATCCTTCATACTATATTGTCTTTAAGATTCACATTTCCAAGCAAACGACAGGTACTCATCGAGGGTTTACGTGGTTTTTCCTTTTAACCTAGAGTCACATTTTAATGTCCTCATCCCAGTTAAGTAGCTCGACCTGCTTACAGTAAAGAAAGTACACAAGTGACAGAGTGCTGACAGTAAATGGGTGCGTGGTGGGAAGGGCCTGTGATAAATAAGGAGAGCATTGTTTCTGCAGAGGGGCTGTGGAACCAAAGGTCAGGAAGTCAGGCTGTATTGTTCGCACAGTGCTGCTTGGCTGGAGTCATCTCTGTCTCTCTCGCCTTTCTGTCAGTGCAGGGCAGTGGCGAACGAACTCTAGCTACAGTGAGATGACTGCATCCGTTTTTGCAAACTTCTGGGTAACATAGGAAGTGCATGTAGGTCTTTACTGTTACAGTTTAATCACACTTGAATAGAGGGGAAAAGTCTGCTTTGAAAATTAGTTGCAGAGATTACAAAAGAAACTTCTTGATCTGATCATTGGCCTTTGAACATAAACATATTTTTAGTTCTCAGTCTTTTTAGTCTGTGCTGCGCCACTTAAATGTCCAACATTTAACATAATGTTAATTTGTTGTGTTTGCACTTTCTATTTTTAGATGTAAGACAAGATACACAGTGTTAATAATTATCATGCAAGATAATGATAGGCAGATGTTTTATTTTTATTTTTGGATCAACACAGTCCAGCTGTTTGCTTGTGTTTAAAGTCTTTTAGCTAGACGTAGATCTATATGTTTGCATACAGGCATACAGGCCAGTCAGCATTCTGATCTTGGCAATGATGCATTTACCAAAAAACCAAAAGTTTAAACATAAAACAGTATTCAACTGTATTTGGTACTTCTGAGAAATGTAATTTGACTATAAAATGAAATTACAGGAGGATGATCTCAATATTTACAAAGTTTTTAATTGACTGAAATTAGGTGAGTATCAGATTCGTTTTGGGCTGGATAAAGTGAACGACGCTGAACTGGACAATCTCATGTAACCCTGTCTGATTACTGTTGCTGTGGTCCTTTTGTTTTCACTGGTGATAACTGTCTTATCTACACACAATATCCTGCCTGGCACTTCTGGTTAAACATCTGCTGAGGATGATGCAAAAGATAGGGGAAACCCTGGAATTCAGGATAGATAGCCTTCATATGATAAAGAGTATCGTCGGCTCAAGGCTAAGGAACCCATATAGGAAAAATGCTGTAGAGATCACTTTTATTATGTTACTCAAACACATATTGAACTGAAATTGGACATATTTTGCTGTTCCAACCCACCATCTGTTCCTGTCATTCAGTCTTTTGAGAAACATAATACCTATAGTTCAGTGGAGCTCAGTCAGATTCTGGACCAATCAAATTGCTTGGTCCCCCCCAGACTCCTGCATTTGAGAAAGATGCATAGAAAATGTCCATATGTCTGTGTGATAATCATTCTCCTTGCTCTGTGTGCTTTCAACACTGGGTCTGATTGATTAAAACTCTACAGCACTACGTCGGAAAATACAGAACCAGTCATCTGCTCTTTGGCCTCCAGATGTTTGTATCTAATCATATTCATGTTGGATTAAAGAAAAGTTCATCCACTCTGTGTTTTAAATGTGCAACATTTGTAGAAAAGCTTTGCAGAAAGATCACAGCTTCGGGCTGTATCTGCATAAAAGAATCTTTTGACATCTTGATGTTTCCGTAAGTGGAACATTTGGCCTTGATTTGCTCTGGAAAAGAGGAAACACCATTGTGTAAGACATAAGTCAGCATCTACTGGCCAGGAAGAGACTGATATCTTATTTCCTCGAATCACTGCTCTGTGGTTTGAGCCCACGGTCGTGGTGAAGCTGCTAGAAAAACTTTATTTTAAACTCGGGATGAGAATAGAAGTTTTAAGTTGAGGACCTATGACACATTGAGAGCACGAACCAAACAGCTTCATCTATTCAAAACGAGTCAAAGTAAAGCAAGTTAGAGCAATTCTTCAGAGAACAGTGCATAAGTCGACACATCCTATATTTTAAGTGGTAGGCACGCCACTAGGTTTGCAAAAGACTGTGGCATATTTGTTTGTTATATGGAGTTTTTATCCTTTTTTTTATTTAGCTGGAATACAGCTGATGTATCAGATGTTAAATTATTATTTCATTATTTCTTCATAACAGCTGTGAACCCCTAGGGCATCCAAACTTACTCAGATGTGTTGATTATTTATGAATTGGAACATTTGTTTCAGTTTTTAAAATATGCACTATGGTGAAAAAGACAGCCTTGTAAAAGTTGCTCAGGTTTAAAAGTAGGCACGTCGTAATGTTATCACTTTTAAAATAAGCAGCTGCTCAACAAACTAGAATCCAGCCTAAGATGATGTCTTCTAATTAGTTTTGTTTGACAAATGCTGCTAAAGCCCTAAATATTTGTTTGATAATCACATAAAACTAAAAAGCAGCACATCGTCATATTTGAGAAGCCTTAACCAGTTGAATTTTGGTTTACTGCTGCCATCAAATTTGTCCTCTTAAACACGCAGCTGTTTTAATAGTCTCTCTTTGGGGCTCGTGGGAATTGAGGCATTTGTTGCTCTTAACCCTCCTGGAGAGTTGATTTCACAAGATAATGAAAACTATCTTTTAAATCAGCACAAGAGTCTTTAAAACACAGGCGACCTTTTGCTGCGGTGGTCAGCCCAGGCATGATTGTGTTGTTTTGCTTTGCTTAACAGCTGGACTTCTCCGTGGATGCTGTGGGGGTCTGACACAAATTAAACCCAGCGAGGGACAGAGTGTGGTGGGTTTGTTAGTGTGGAGTAATTGACCACATGGTATCCAGTAGGCTTAGCTGTGCTGAGTTCTCCAGGATGAATTCTCTCGTGGGGGTATGGGAGTAGGGGAGAGTGAATGAGGGACTGGCGAATGGAGACGGGGGAGGGGGGGGGGGATTTGGAGTAGTCCATTGTTTATCCTGATGGTTTCCAGATGATGGCAGAGGGAGGCAGCCACCTCCTGGGTCTCTCTCACCAGGCTACAAGGATCTGGGCCAAGCTTATCTGCTGCAGCCTACAAATCTGGCTTTACATCCCTCTATGCAGTCTGGGGCTAATTTAAATAAGACAACATAAGTATTGGCTGTGAAACTGAATATGTTATAATTCACATAATAAATGAATTTCACAACTTATTTATCTTAAAAGAGTTTCTCATATGTGGTTTCAGACTGAAAGGTTTTGGGGTTTTAGGCCTGCTGTTTGTTTCTATGTGTTTTATTTTCTGTGTATGACAAAGAAAATTGAATTGAATGAAAATTGTTCTCAGAAACTGCACCAAGTCTAAAAAACACAGGCAATGGAAGTAAAGTAACCTCTGCAAACAAAGACCAAACCCAGCTGCCTTAGCTGATATTAGTATTGCTGCAGTCCTTAACTTTTCTACATATCAGGAATGCAGATTTTGATATAGCACACAGCAGAAGGAGAAGATAGCTTCTGCTGTGTGCTATATCAGGAACTGCTTCAAAGGGAATTACTTCAAATGGCTTGTAACTGCTGGAAAAATGCTGCCTAAATGAAATGAAAGGCATAAGAAGGCGTAACTTAATTACACGTACTATTTACACATGGACACAACTGTGTACAGGCTTTTTACTGAAAATCTTAAGCCTCATCAGTAATGGTCTCAGTGGGAGTGGGGCTGTCAAGAAGCCATTCTTAAGGAAGGGAAACAGGCGGAAAAGGATGAGATATGCCAAATTACACAAGAACTGGACTGAAAATCAGTTGCAACAGGTCTTGTGGAGTGATGAATTTAAATTTGAAATGTCTGATTCAAAACAGCATCAGTATGTAAGGAGGAGGTGGAACAGTGAGTGTCAACAGTAATCTATAAAACATGGTGGAGACTCTGGTTTTGGGCTGTATTTCAGTCAGTGGTGTTGGAGATTGTGTCAGAACTGATGAAATGAAGAGCGCAGAAATGTATTTTCAAAGATTTATCCACCATGCAAAACCATCTGGAAAGCATCTGTTTGTCAGTGGCTTCATTTTTGAAGATGACAGTGATCCCAAACACGCTACCAATAAAGTAAAAGCTTATCTGGATAGAAAAAAAAACACAGTAGGATAGTGTAAGTCATGGATTGGCCTCCCCAGAGCCCAGACCTTAACATTTTTGAAGCAGTGTGCAATCATCTTCACAGAGAACAGAGCAAAAGGCAGCCAACATCTAAAGAAGAGCTTTGAATGTCCTTCAAATAGCCTGGAGAAGTATTCCTGAAGCCTACTTAAAGAAATTACAAGAAAGAATAAAGTCTTACTAAGAGAGTTCAGCCTGATGTGTGTATATACAGTGTCATATGTATGCGAAAATGGCCCACTGATCTGATGGATTCAGTCAATCTTTCCTGCTTTCCATTGAGAGTGTCCATTCACTTCCAGGTCAAAAGTGTGTTTTCATTTGTTGGCTGTCAGTTTGACATCTTTGATGAGGGCAGTGGAAACTACAGCGTGTGCAGTGCCCCTCGCTGCCCTGTGGGCTCCAGACTTTAGGTAGAGTTTGTTTTGCTTGTTTTGAAGAGTGAAAGCTGTTTCCTTCTTCAGGAAAACGATAATCTGTCTGCTGTCTCTGTATGCTTGAGAACAAGGGCAAGCATCAAAAGCGATCTCCCACAGTGCCCCTTGGTGGCCGAATGAGGCAAACACATGCTTCAAAATGATTCACAGCGCATTTAGCAGTTAGAGATTTGGCTGATGGAACTTCACAACCTGTTTTCACATATTAAGGCCTGGAAATGAATAAAATTGGAAATGATCAGTGAGAAGCTTTGAACCTGACATATGTTTCTGCGGTGAAATAAAAGCAAAGCATTATGTGAACTTCTCTGTTGTTGTGGATTCAGGCCTGATTCGATCTTAATTTTGACTTGCCCTACTTTTCATCCAAGATGCTTTTAATTCAAACCAGTCTTGTCGAGAGGATTTTCTTTTTTCTTTTCGGTGATGGGCTTAGAATTTTGTCATGTTACACCAGTGCAGAGTTCATCTGGGTTTTATTTCCTCCCTGCTAAGGTTTTTGTGTTCTGATTGGAGGATTGTGGCCAGCTGGGAGGGATGACTGATAGCCTAAGGTATTTGTCCTATAGAAGTAAGCCCTCTCCAATTGGTCCCTCCGCAGGCTAGGGCCTCCTTTACAGTCTCCTGGGAACACAGCTGGAGGGAGGGAGTTCATTTCTAATGGGAAAGCTGAGACTCTTTTTGTGTCCAGCAAATAAATTACAACATACAATATCATCTAACATCTTTGGAATTAACCACTGAAACTTTTCTGTTTGCTTTCATAGAACCAAGAGTCTTGTAATTTCCTACACTATCCCTCTAAAATAAGTTTCCTTTGATTAGATTACTTTGTAATATAAGTCAATCCTTTTAGGATTGTTAAAGCACCAAAGCAAATTATTTGACAAAACATAATCATCCCATTGCTGAAAAAAAAACCCTCTCCATAAATTCTCCTGACCACCAACAGTTCTGCTATCAGGATGTTTTATAATTACATGAAGCTTTGAACTGGCTGCCATGCAAAGAAAAAATAGGTCATTGCATAGGTTTTCCCCGTTAAAAGTGGTGATAGGCATGTATAATTTTTCTTCTTTTCAGGCTCGACCCAAAGGCGAGGGCCTGACCCCTTATCAGGGAAAAAAGAGGTGTTTTGGAGAGTATAAATGTCCAAAATGCAAGAGGAAGTGGATGAGCGGGAACTCCTGGGCCAACATGGGACAAGAATGTATCAAGTGCCACATCAACGTTTACCCTCACAAGCAGGTAATGCATCAGAACACAGGGCATCAGGAGACTGGGACATCTCATTGGTCCTGCACATCAAATCTTTACATGTATTCAATCTATGCAATCAAATCCACTTTTTTGTAGCTTGACCATTGAGGCCAGGACTGACTTTAAAAAGGTGAATTGTTCAAATTTTGGATACATTAGCTGCAGATACCTCTGTCTTATCCTTATATAAGCTTACAAATGGCATAGCTTGTCTGTTTCTCATGTCTTTCTTGGACCTAGGACTAATTGGCAATTTCTGTATATGCAGGTCATTAATTTCCAGTTTCTTTGTTCCAGAGACCTCTGGAGAAGCCGGATGGGTTGGATGTGTCTGACCAGAGTAAAGAGCATCCGCAGCACCTGTGTGAAAAATGCAAAGTCCTTGGCTACTACTGCCGCCGAGTGCAATAACACATTCAGTTTGCCTAACACACTGCTCCAAAGCTTCATGAAACACACATAGCTACGACAGCTATATTTTAGTTACTAAAGCTACAACATCTATAGTGCAGTAATGCATCTTACGCTTTCATGAAATACCCTCTGACTCTGGTTTCAGTAGTATCAGTGGAGAAGAGTACTTTGTGTTTGCTGGGTTCTTGTAAGCTACTCGGTTTTCATTATGTGAATATTCATTTGAAGTCTGAACTTTGAGCCAACTGTGAATTAAGAAACTTTACTTTCTTCACTTGTGAGCAACTTCTTGGAACAGCTTTCATATAGAGGTTCTTTTACATGTGTGTATATTTCAGAAATAACTTAAATGTTTTTGTATAAAATATGCAAGTCTACCAAGACGGTTATGCAGTAATAATGTATATCTGCCTTTTCCTCTGTATTATTAGTATTGGTGGGTACATCATTTTTCTAATATATGTTTTAAGCCATACTATTTTGTTGAATATTACTCTTTGTGAAGGAATATATTAGTCAACTAACATTAAGTTCTTTTATACTACGTGCTACAGTTTATGGGGAAAACACTCGTCAGGTAGTTTGTGGCTCCAAAGTTTTAAATATGCAGTGTAGAAATTTTTCTAATAGTAACTTACAGCAACTGTATTTTGGCACCCAGTGCTAAAAGACTCGCCAAAGTGCTTATGGTCATAATGTAGTATATAACATGTGACAGTAAAAAAAAGTGAATGTAACAAACGGTGATAAGTGAAGGGTTGCATGTGAGTGGTGCTTTTCAGGGTATTTTTCACTGGACTTGCTAATAAATGAGTATGGAACAGAAATACCCTTTAACTTGTAAACTGTGTTAAATTTAATGTGCCTTCATTTGTATAACCCATGAGATGGATGCTTCTCTATTGAACTATTTGCATTAAAATTGATTTAAACGTGATCGGTTTCTGATCTCATCTCTACATCTCAAGTAAGGATGTAAGCACATCATATCATGAGGGGGACTACAGAGAATAACTTACTGATATATGGCTTCAGTATCATCAAATACAATCACAGGTAATCTTATAATTAAAAAAATAAAATGATCTGCCTCCATCCATCCTTTGCATCCTCTTTTGTCACACCAAGCCTGTGTGTTCTTCCTCTTTTCCTCCTGCCTAACAACTCTAAATTTCCACATTCTGTGAACATCTGTCAGCCTGTCCATTACACTATATACAAGAGATCAATGTAGTTTAAAGTGAAGTTAATCCTTACTTCACGTTAAACTCATGTCATTCCTATCACATCTCAGTCATTTTGTTGCCCACATACACTTTCTGCCACTCTTTTTCTTCATACAATACCATAGCTCCTCTCTTTGTACCTCATTGTATTTTTTCTACATATACAAATTGTACCTGCTTCTGAACTTCTCCTCAGGATAGTTCAGAAAGAATATTTTTCCAACATCTCCAATAAAATGTAGGCACTACTGAAATAAGTTTTATTTCAGCCAGTTTGCTGACGTGCAAAATTTCATTTTTAAGGAAATTTTAAATTTTTACACCTTTGTTAAAAATCACATGTTTAGAAAAGGGTTTTGTTTTTACAAATGTATGCCCCTTTTTTGCAAAATTAGTTCAAGTTTATATTGCTAAATTCACAAGCTTTGTCACATATCAGGATCATTCATTATTTTTGATCGATCAAGTTCACATTTAAAGCAAACACGTGTGTTGGCCATTACTTGAGGTAATACAGCATATAAACACAAAAACCTAAACAAAAAATGTTCTGAAATGATCTACTGTCAGCAAACAGAGATAGCACCCTGTTCGCTGACTGAAGAAAGACCCTCTTTCACTCTTGCATTTATTGAAATTACAGCAGGAGATGAGACTACGGACACGTCCACACGGAGTCTAGTCGAGCTGTCCACAGTCTGTGATAGTGATCTTCTTGGAGGTTCGCCCAGTCCGTGAACCGTAAGACTCCACTCTCTCGACTACATCCATTCCCTCCTTCACGCTGCCAAAGACAACATGCTTGCCATCCAGCCTAAATGAAGAAGACGCTTATTTTAATATAGCTGCCCTGGATAATGACATGATCCATGAAGCACCTACGGAGTCTGACCGACTCACATTTTATTAGGTGGAGCCACAGACTGATGAAAAAGAACTTCACTAGCTTCATCTCCTACATTTTATGATGTTTATCAGTACGTACCATTGTGTTTTAGCTGTGCAGATGAAGAACTGGGATCCATTGGTGTTTGGTCCAGCATTGGCCATAGACAAGATACCTTACAATTGAACAAATTCATTCATTAAAGTACGTATTTTCACTTAAGCCACACATCTACACAACATATTATATAGCACACTCAAATATCACCGTCAGAAAATCCACCATTTAAAATGTTGCCACCTGGTGGCAGAAGACAAATGTGACTATACCACATTACAATGGAGGACAGCATTGGGTAATTTTCCAGTAAATTGATACAAAAAAACAAACAAAACAAAAACAAAAAAACACCCATAACACCCACAAGTACCCATAATATTTACAGAATTGCTAAATTTAACTTGAGATGCATGCATATTTAATCTGGTCATGGCCCATCTCATTTTTGCTCTGGAAAATTACAATTTACTCCATTTACTACCAGCAAAACACCAGTCACAAACACTGTAGCCTGAGATTGTACCAACATGTGTAGTATATCACATTGTGCTGTGTATGCATTATATTAGATGCAATGTATTATAACCTGTAAGACTGTATTTGGTTTTGTACAACCCCCATCGTCCTTTTGGTTCCCAAGGAAAAACTGAAATGATGTAAATACTTGCCTGGCCCAGTGTGCTTCAGTTGGAAGTTCTCGTCAGGAAACGTCCTTCCGTAGATCGATTTTCCTCCAGTTCCGTTGTGGTTCGTGAAGTCTCCACCCTGAAAACACAAAACGTGTGACTGTAATTGGACCCTCATAGGACACAGGAAAACAAAAGGAGAGAAATATTAAAGCCTACCTGGCACATGAACTGAGGGATCACTCTGTGGAAAATTGAACCCTTATAACCAAAGCCATGCTCTCCTGTGCACAGTGCTCGGAAGTTTTCTGCAAGAGAGCGTTCATGTCAGTGTCTGCCTTCTTATGTTTGAATGCACACGGTAGACAGAACAGTTACGTTAGAATAAAGCACAAGCAAAATCCTAAACAGCAGAGTTATTTTTTCTTAGTCTTTTCGATATTTATTATTTATTATCTTCCTAAAAGATGAAAAAGTGTGCCTGTAACAGTGTAAGAATGCCACAAACCGCTCAGTTATCAACAGAACAGAATAAAATTTGCAGCCTTTTTGATGATCATGAGTCTCACCTTTTAAATTTGTGGTAATCTCCTGTTTTTCAGGTTTTAACATAAAAAAAAGTGAATAACAATCTTTTATCTTCTGTTGTGACAACACATTGTTATTCTCTTAGAATGTTTCTTCTGATTTACAAACCAAATAGGCAAGCTTTGGCAGAAAGTCAAAAACTGTTCTAACATAATCAAAGTGACAACCTGTCGATTCACACACACATTTGGTGTGTCAAGTTAAACTTAGTCAAGTTCAGGCACACCATCATCTTTTCTTTAGGTCTGAGTAGATCAGATACTCGTTCCAGCTTGTTTGGTGTTTAAGGAGGAAGAGAACATCAGTTACCTGCAGTTTTGGGCACGACTTCTGCGTTGAGCTGCAAAAGAAAAAGAAGCAGCCTGAAGGCATTTTTTAAATTTTTTTAAATCTGGGGAGAGTAAATCAGCGACTGTGTGAGGACATCGAACTGAAACATTAACATGCAAACTAATACAAGCAGTGTCAACACTTATTTTTAACCTACTCACCTCGAAGGTAACTCTGCCAAGAGGCTCTTTGTCAGCGGCAATGTCAAAGTACACCAGCGGGTTTTTGTTCGCTGCCGCTGGGCCGCTGCTGTACAGACGCGCGGCTGTAAACGCTAAAGAGCAAAACTTTATCCTGTTTGACAGAAGCAACATCTTTATAAACTCACTGTGATGCAATAACTCAACGCAGGTGGACCAACAGTGACCTACAATCACGCTTACATGCGCGAGAGGAGGAAGCTGACTACGCAACCGGAAGCTCTGCTACGTTTCTCGCGAGATTACGCGAGATTTTTTATGCACTCAAATTATTATTATTGTTGTTGTAGTAGTGTTATGCTACGTGCTGCTCATTTCATTAATGTCATACGTAAAAGAAAGGTTTGTGTAGTCTGTATGGTTCATCTGATCACCATATAGAGTTCGTCTAAAATGAAAATGAATCATTCAAGATGCGCTATTGCTACAGCCCAATCAAAAACAACGTTTTGAAAATTCAAAATCTAAAATATCTACACCACGTGAAACTTTAAAATTTGAAACTGGAGACAATCAGTTCGTAAAGTGAAGCAGACCGTATTTAATCAGTTTTGCATGTCAATTGTTTTATTTTTTTTGTATAATGACTTACCATAAAAAATCCCCACCCATCACCAGGATAAAAAGTCTATTATTTTATTATTAAAACCCCAATCATAAAAAATAAACTGTTTGGAATGAGTGTGTTGCTGTCACTGTAATGTAACCAAATGTTATACATGCATCATGCTATAAGCAGAATATACACACAAATGTCAGCGTAGAGGTCTTTAGCTAATTCACGGACCTCTGGCCATGTGCATGAAACTGCAAATATTCGACGATATCAGCAGTAGAGCTGGGGAGCAGCAAAGCTTTGGACAGTGATTTTGTAAAAGCTAGATTTTGGTTTATAGATTGTTTCGCAACCTGCAGCAATGCGGGGCTGTGGAATAGGGCAGATGCACAGTCTCTCTCTTGCTTTTTTTTTTTTTTTTTTTAATTTCAAAGAGCAGCCACCAGAATATTACCAAGTACAAAAGTGTGATAAAGCAGGGCCTTTTATAGGCAGAGAGATAAAAAGCTTCTCTCAGTTGATGCCATAGTGCCAATATCTGATATTGCAGACTTTTTTTTTTTTTAAAAAAAACACCAGATGCCCTTTCCTGATGTAAACCCCCCCAGAATGTGCATCCCACCCTGTTCTCAAACTGAGGACCATGCAGCTGAACACCTCACAAACTGATTGGACTGCGGGTGCATTCAGTTTTATGCCCATGCAAATTTTAATTTGCAGCTGGAAGTAGTCTCCCACTGGCAAAAATTACATTTTACCCCAATCTTTTCACAGTACTTGTACCAGCGCTACATCACACTGAAAATGAAAGGCTAGGAATGCAGCTTTCCATGTGAAAAACCCATAAAATGGCATTGAAACAGAAAAATGCTAATAATACAACATAAAATGCGACATTTATCTACACTCAGCAAAAGAGGAAGCACTCTAGGCCAACCTCTTTCACTTTGGTCATTTTATTGAAATTCACCAGGAAATGAGATTACACAATGACCATATCCACATTAAATCTACTTGAGCTCTCCACAGTCCGTGATCGTGATCTTCTTTGAAGTGTATCCAATCTTGGAACCAAAAGACTCCATTTTCTTGACCACATCCATTCCCTCCTTTACTTTTCCAAAGACAACATACTTGCCATCCAACCTAAAATAAAAAGAAACTGCTTACAATTAATGGCTTCAAGCCATTACTGAATATCACTGTGATATGAATTAAAGCCAGTTTGGATGAAATACACAGCTTCATTGGTATCAGCCGTTATAAATATGTTTACGTTTGTCAGTACGTACCAATCTGTTTTAGTGGTGCAAATAAAGAACTGGGATCCATTGGTGTTCGGTCCAGCATTGGCCATGGACAGGATACCTTAAAATTTAACAAACTCATATCCAGTTAGATTAAAATAAGGACCCTTGAATATACTAAGTATTTCCACTTGTGGCACAGGTGCACACAACAGCTT